ATCCCAGCATCTGCTGTCATTGAAGTATTGGTTGCAATCCAACTTACTCAATCAGTTGAACTGGACCTCTTCCCCAATGTCGACGATTGACCATGAGGTCACTATCACTTCGATGATATATGATCACAAGCACCAAGTATAGGTTTGAAAAAAATATTAGAATCTCACACTCCTCTTGGACTTGTCTGAAGTGTTCCATATCATATAGACGTCATTCAACATGTCAACTTCGACACGCCATCACTATCAATATCCTGATTGAGAAATTTTCAGATCCAGCGATATCAATTACAAGCTTTTCCCTCGAGCAAACCACTTTCCAGTATAATTTAGGCATACGTGTGTGTAAATTGCGAAACCAGGAGCTTCGAAACCGTATTGTCGGAAATGGCAACACAGGCCGCAAAAATTTTCGCGGTGCCGCGCTAAACTTTGTCACTATCGATCGCTTTTGCGGCTGAGACGGCTGCATCATGTGTTGCATACACTTCAAGTTTGGACTAACTCAGCCAAACTTGTTCCCACGTACCTGTGCGCCTTAGTATTGTTGTAGATAGTAAAGCTTCAACGGATGGCCAGAGCAATCAAATCGGTAGGGCGGCTTGTTTATCGACTTCCTAATCTATTTGGTCCGCGGATTATGCACTCTGACCTTCATTTAGAAACTGAAGCTTCAATTAAAATTATAACGCCAGCGCTTATATTAGGTGCTCACGACATCAAAATATATAGATGGAAATGCATCGTACATCACACGAGCCCATAAATGCGCGGGACAATCGTTGGTTGCTCGAGATGTCTATAATCATGATCTTCGTCCATGTGACGTAAGCACAGCACCATAATGTTTGCTACTCACTCGTTTTATGTCAACTTCTTCGATTCCAATCTCCATAGCGACGGATATATTGTTTATACAAGTTTACGTATCTACACTAACGCCACTGGTACGCAGGCATGAAAATGCAGAAGTGAGTACAGAGAAATGGTGTCATTCAGGTTCAGATTTAAATCTCAATTTGATATATAGATGTATCGGTACTTTTCGTAGATCATCCTTGTTCGTCGTTAATCGTCTTACTCCATGCAAAGAGGTTTTATTGTGCCTCGGGAAAATGGGTTGTAGGCCTAGCTTTCGTCGAAGCGTGCTTCATACTAGGCGTACTCGTTGCCGTAACTGAAAATGACGAGGAAAAAGAGGTGGTTAATTGTGTAATTTGCGCTCTACCTATAATTTTCTGCATGCAGACACCAATATGTGTCGCCATAGATTACTAACTTGCTCGCAACATTCGATGAATCATTGAATTACCATGTTGAAGTTCTGCCAGCCGTTGTACGAAAAGGCTCGACAATCATGAGCACATTCCAAGATCCAACAACAAATGTCAGTAAGTTTTAAGTCATGATGAGTTTGTGGCGGTAGTCAAAAGTATGTATAAGAGTCCCCATCTCCTCGTACCAAACATACTATATGGAAACATTACATGTCTACCACTGCCATCACTCAGTACATGTATTTGCTCGATTTGTAGCACACAAAAGTCAGGATCATAAGCATCATGAACCAAAGAGCAAATGATATTGTTTATTGTCGAATAGTGTCATTGCCGCCACAGTGACTCGGCCAGCAACATCAACACTAAGACGAAGTTTAATTAGCAGTTCCATACCACTACTATTTCAAATACATTGTGATTGATTCGAATTTAGGTGTATATGCAAATGTAGCAAGGACTGTATCTACCATTCAAGGTATGCATACTGCTAGACGTGTATGTTGTCTGGCGCACGTGCGCGAAGAATATGAAAATAAATATAAATAATGTTAATCTCCCTCCTTTGTCAACACTACAACATGCGTCTGCAACGGCATTACAATTTGACCATGTCAAGTCGCATATGGTGTCCGTCAGGCCCGTCAATCATCTTATGATGGATCATGCGTGTCTTTTGTGTATCCTTGTCTCATATCGGCATGGACCCTGATGGGTTAACGCATCCCATCTTTCGCGATGACACAATACAACCAATCAGGTGAGGTCGGGCCCTCCTGTATATGGCCATTCACTTGAACCCAAAATGCTTGGAGACCTTTTACAAACGATCTCTTCTACAGTTATCACTTTTTTGGATGCTATCGCTATGAAGGCTTATTACTTTTAGCCGCATGTAGGATCTTCGTAAATTAATTGCTGTAGTACCTCTCGAATATGTCTACAAGATGCTAGAGGAAACTCTTCCAGCGGTAGGCAAACTTGCAATGCCTAATGACGATGACGAGCTTCAAGAGGGCTGGCTGAAAAAATTTCGGAGTCTATATCAACCGATCATACGCCTTCTATTTCAACAAATTGTTCAGCAGGTGAAATGTAGGCCTCTTTGCGGAAGTCACGACTTATCAGCAAGGTGAGAATTAGTACTCGTGTAACTGAGGTGCTACGAAAAGGTGCTACGAATACAACGTTTTACAAGATATGATTCGAGGGGTTTATCATGAGCAACTGTTCTGCTTGACATGGAAGATTATCATTAGCTGCTTGAAGGCAAAACGTACAACGAATTGGACTGTCCAAATTCGCAATATTATAAAGGGAAAACGAGCCTACCCCTGTCGCATGACTCATCACATATATGGCATCCGTCCGATATGGCACCTTGATTTGAACAGCTGACCCGACCGTTGAACGTGTGAGACAAACGTATGACAAAGTTGTCGTTAAGGCACGCTGGGCTTTGACTCATGATTATCTTTCATTCTCACTTTACCTGTATTTCGAAAAGCCTTTCCAGAAAGAATATCGAAGCCGATAGCCCCTTTGCCAACCAAGAGCGTTTCACACTACCAGTGTGAAATCACGACTTTAAAAGACATTGCGTTATAAGCCAATCTATGCCCGGCGGCGATAATCGGACGTCCATCGATGATATGTTAGCAAACAGAAACCTTTGAAAGCAGTTGTATGGTGGCGTTCGATGTCGGCCTTTTCACACGCGTGTAGAGATGGTCAGATTAGGGAAGCCTCTGATACCGATCACCTTAACTGCCAAACGTATGAAGTACGCCATACTTGAACGTATCCATTCACCTGGTAAATATGACACCGTGGAACAAAATAGGGGCTTGAAAAGGAGTTCCACTCGACAGACGTAAAGTTACTTCAATAGCTATCTAGCTAGAGTCGAGGATAGTTCTCGAAGACTGAAGGGCACTGACACAATTCTGTTAGTCCAGATTTTGACCACCACATATCGATCATCAGATCGTCCCAGTTTATTTGCGTGAAAAACGCATGCCACTTGTAGCCCCTACTAGCATTGTAAGATCCGAAACGTACCTCCTTTCGTAGATACAGCCGCGCATACAGCCCCTTTTCCCGCAGCCCATCGTCTCACCTCAATCTCTCCTTTTTCCTACTTTAGTCACGCAGCAGATATTCAATGATGTTCTACCCGGAGCATCGCTTGCCGATTACGACTTCCGCTTCAACGCAGCAACGTATCCTCCTCAAATGCATCGATTTGTTGTGTCATAACATCGTGCACACTGTTTTGAACACCCTTGTGCCGCATCTTACAAATAAATGCGTTCAAAGCGCCGTATGTAAAAGAACACGCTCCTTTTGCACATATAATTACGTGGGCTTTCATCAAGTTTCGATCCTAGTGGTCTCCTGACCATAGAATTGAGAGGTCCCTGGACAGATAATTACGAAGACTGACACACTGACAAGACGACATGGTTGTTTCACTGTGTATTCGTGCAAGTCACCATATGATGTGGAGTCCTTGTGTGAGCTGAATGAAGACTATCGGTCGAAAAACTTCATTGTGCAATGCACGGTTTTCGAACCCATTACGTGTTCTTTCGCCTATTATACCTGCAGATCATCTCCGGGTGTCATGATGGGTCACGTGGGGGCACAATATTCTCTCAATTGTTTCGTTCGGAGTGTCCTGTGGCAGCGTCTCGTGGTTGCCGCACTCTACCATACTCAATTCGATAGATTGCTTTGACCATGAGGCGATGTCGAGAGCAAGCACACACGTTTGCGATCGACGGCGAGCTGTCCAAACTCACTGCTGGTCTTGCTATAGACTTTGGGCCCACGTACACCGACTTCCTCTCTTGACACGTCCTCGTTCCTGCCTGCTCTTTGGCGCATTTGACTTTCGACGGTAGAATCAAAACAGTGGCGCCGGAAATAAGGGACACATGGCCCTCTTGATTTCGATGTTAGCTCATACTGTGGCTTGCCTGATCTGCCGGCATCGTACTGTATCGGGGCAGCTCATAGGACAGCAAATCCAGCTGCAATGCCACACTGGATGTACATTCTGCATCCGCAGACTCGCAATACCAGCAAAAGGAAGATACTGTATGTTCCTGGACCGAATCAAGTGTGCCCATGCAGCATCCACGTTGCATGCGGTTCCTCTGCGTATCACTTGATGTGAAGTAAGTTTGACACCAGGAAGCAGTCCAACGCAGGTCTGCAAGCTTTGCTTCCTCCGAGCAATGTCGTCCCCTTTTCGGATAGAGCTGCGCGGGTCAGCGACGTTGCTGTTCAGCAAATGTGGCCATCTCAGGCGCAGCATACAGATCGTCCGTTTATCCCGTCAAAGCTTTAGCGGACGAGCGAAGCAACGGAGAGGGACTCCAAACCGAGCGCAGACACACAAAAAAGCACAGGTCTTCCTGCTACAGCTGAGAAATGAAAGTTTACGTGCAACTACCTGTCTACGCCTTTGTCGAGCGAGTGCGCTCGCTCAGGTCGCTAGTGATACGTACAAGTGACCGACCTGCCACCAGAAGTTCCCCTCTGTCTCCCTCTCTCCTTCGCCCTTTCACCCCGTCACCTCCACGCGCTTGTCACGATCGTCCCGTGCTGCACAGCTGCAGCCATTCGTTGCACGCAACGAGAGGTTCCCCACTGCGCAGCAACTGCACCAACGCGAGCAGCAAACGGCACCACAAACTCGCACCACGTCGTCGTCGTCTACGGTCGATAGTCCGATGCGTACCGACGGGACGTGCGGTCGTCGTGTCCATTGGACGACTGGCGACGGTAGCCACGCTCCATCGCTTCGTCGTCACGACGCAGGACACGGTCGTCGTTCCGACGGGACGCGTCGGCTCTAGATCCACGTGAAGTACCCCCTGCGTACCCCCTGTCGTCGTAGCGCTCGCTGCCTCCACGACGAGAGCCACTGCGATCGTCTCGGCGGTCACGAGACCGCGAGCGTCCACGGGGGGACGCCCCCCGTCGATACGACTCGTCCCGACGTCGATCGCTTCGGGAGGCGCTGCGACGGCTCGAGCGCTCCTGTCCGCTCGCCCGGTCCCGCGACCGGGAGCGGGAGCGCGACCGCGCAGCACGAGAGGCCGACGGTCGTCCTCTGACGTCGCTGCTGCTGGTGCGGTCCGCGTAGCGGTCCCGAGAGCGTTTCCGGTCAGAGCCAAAGTCGTCCCGAGGCCTGCGCTCGGGCACTCGCGGCGCCCGCTCAGGCGCGTCGTCGAACTGGCCGTTGCGCGGCGGAGACAGCGCCGCTGGTGGGGCAGAAGGGGCAGCGGCAGGCGGCGGCGCGCTCAGGCCCTGCTTGGTCATCCACGCAGGCAGTGTGTTCGCCCGCCCGCGTCCGCGTCCAGCCATCGTCGTCGTTGTTGGTCTTCCGGAATTTGTGCACACTCAAAGCGGAGGCCAAATGACTGTCAAAAGGGCGCGTGGGGTCGATTTGGTGGTATGCTTTTTGGCGGCGGCGGGACTAAATTTGGGGAGGGCTCGGTGCTCTCGGCGGTAGGGGTTGACAGAAACGAGGCGATTGCGCGTTTAGGGTTGTTTAGGAGTAGTGTGAAATGTTGTGTTGCGTGGGGTGGAAACACAGGCGCTGAAGTAGCGTGTACACAGGCGCTGAAGTAGCGTGTACACAGGCGCTGAAGTAGCGTGTACACAGGCGCTGAAGTAGCGTGTACACAGGCGCTGAAGTAGTGTGTACACAGGCGCTGAAGTAGCGTGTACACAGGCGCTGAAGTAGCGTGTACACAGGCGCTGAAGTAGCGTGTACACAGGCGCTGAAGTAGCGTGTACACAGGAGGGTCGATCGACGCCTCGTGCTTGTGAAAGCGATTCATGTCGGGGAGCGGACGAAAGAGTGCGTACCGCAAAGGCGTGACCAAGCGCGTGCTCTATGGCGACCCGGAGCCCACGGAGAACGAGGTCATTGTCTGCGTGACGGCATTGCGAGGCAGTAACTTGTTCGAGGTGCGCTGGCGATTGGAGGGCCTGGTAGAGCGCGTGGTGGGTACGCGCTGACTTGTGAAGTAAGCGCAACAGGTGGTGGACGCCCACGGAGCCAAGTCCGTGACGATGCTGCCGACGAAATTCCGCAAACTTATCTGGATTAAACGAGGTACGAGAAAGCTGGATTGTTGGATCTTTTGTATGGCCCGAGTTGGACCTGTGATTGCAGATGAACTGGATCAATTGGGTCGTCGAGACAAAACTTTAGTGGAGACGAGTGGTTTTGTTGCATGCAGATACCAACGAGTTGTTGTATGCTGTTTTTGTATGCTGTTCTCAATGACGTTCACAGGCGATTTCCTGATTGTCGGTGAGGGCGACGGCGGTGAGGCCACAACTGCCACGGGCAAGAAGGGTGCCGTGACGTCGATCGTGGTGCACATTTTGTACAAAGAGCAGATCAAGAACCTGAAGCAGAAAGATCTTTGGTGCAGTGTCGCAGGAGTGAAGTTGTGGTGGTCGTCGGTGCTTTCTCTGATAGTGTGGTCGAATGCTCGTTGCTCCTATTCTAGGCCCGCGGAATTCAACACTTTACCTATTGGACCAGCATGGGCACAAGGAGGCGCTGTGAACGACGAGGAAGAGCAGAAAGATGGAGAAGACGTCGATAGTGATGCTGAACAAGAGTCTCAGCTGGCTGTGTCTGTGGACCAGAGAAAGATCACGGTAGTGGATGACCGATTTGCGCAAATGCACGTGAATCGAAATCGCCGCAAGGGTCACTTCGACGACGAAGAAGACGACGATAGCGATGAAGAGTAAACGATGGAATGCGTTGACACGACAAAGCAGGTATCGAGATATCCACGACACGTTTCGTCCAACTTGATGAGGGCGTTCTTGTCGGATGTTGTCCAGCGGGAGGCGGGTCTTAGTGTGACGTAGAGTGGTGTACTTAGCAGTGATGATGACCCGATGTCTCGAGAGCCCCGTTTCGGTGTGCGTGCAGTATGCAACGCATAGTTTCCAGCTTATGATCGTACGAATCTAGCTTTTCTAGATTGACGCAATCTCTTTTTTCTTGAGTGTGCTAATGACGTAATTTCGGGTCTCAGCGGGGCAATTGACCGCTGCTGTCACCACAGCACCGAAATGTTGCTCAGTGCAATGTAGAATCGAGCGTGTGTGATGCAAGTACCTAGATTCAAGCGGACATGATACAATCAAACCTAGAAACAGTGTGCACATACGAGTCTGCGCTGCAAGCGCAGGCAGAGAAACGAAGCAGTGTCGAAAAGCCAGTAGCCCGTTTCTGAATGTATGCTGAGGCCAAGAGCATACAATGTCGATCAGCACCCGACTTGGCAGATGAGGTCGAAGCCACGCTCCACGTCGCGAGGTGGCTACGCACGAGTAAGTTCGCACCAAGTACTGGACCGCACGTTGCAAACTGAGCTGCCAGTGTATCCACCTGATCGAGTACTGCGAGACGCCAATAACGAGATTGCGCGTGAAGTGCACACTATTGTTTTAGTCCGGGAACGAGTCTCCGATAGTACGGATGATGCTCGAAAGTATGTTGCAGCCCTACGTGTCATCAAAGTGCTCCATGCAAGAGGAAGACCATTGCACCGCCTAAAAAAGCACTGCGTTTCCCACGCACAAGTCGTGCTTTCATTCTCATGACTGATCTTCGTGTGTTGTGCATCCACTCACTTCAGTGCATGACGAATAATGCCATCGGCCTTGGTCAGCATCGGTCACTCTCCCGTTTGCTTTCTTTGCAACCCGTACTGAGGCTGTCAACCAAGATCAACTGCTGAAGCGGGTGTACCTACGTGATGTGTCTGACGTTTGGTGTCGGTACCTCAGCTTTCAGCCGAAATGGAAGTCATGAGTGCAGGCGTGTAAAGTACGTTGTGGCTTAGCGTTTACGTGACGACATGACTGCATCTGGAATTCGGTACGAGCTTTCCAGCACGTTGACACGACGCAGCTGGAAGGAACAGCGACGCTGCTCATTGTGCGGGGTGGACGTATGCAAGACATGCTTCGTGAGAACTTGTGGCGGTCCAGCAGTCATGTAACTTCGATTACATGCCCTGCGTCAAAGGGTTTATGGAAACAGTGCCACGTCGAAGAGAGGTCAAACGCGAATACAAAAAGAAGATGCAGGCGCACGTCGTCAGCACAAACTTCAGCTCTTCTTGACGTCTTGCTGTGCAAAAAGGGGAAGAAGAATACACTTGCAAGGCCACACGATTGTACTGCTCATAGCAATCAACTTCCGTCTCATGTTCTTACGCATATCTGCTTTCGCGCTTATACAAAAGCGTTTTCAGCAACTCGTACTGGTCGCGCTGCTGTCTCAGTGATTCTCGTGTCAACGTCTGCATTTCATCCATAGCAGCACACATCCGGTACATCGTGTAGGCGAACATGAGCGTACAAAGTACGATGGCTATCTGGAGCGTCGAGTGGAGGGGTGTCAATAGACCCAGAGTCGGCGCAGACTCGGCATGTGCCAACGTTGCTGCAGGTGAATCCGTACAGGCAGCGCCGTGCTGCAATGTCGACTTTGGCAAATGCTCTTCTCGTCTTCCAACGGACTTTGATGAGTTTACGCGTGCACGATCGGGAGAACGAGCACTGCTCTCAGTTGCATCCAGCTCTTTGGTTGCATCGAGAGCGGCACTTAGCCACATTTTCAGCGCATCCTTCGATTCGGAGACAGTGGTGCTTTCAATCTATGTGTTGACATTGCAAGACACAGAAGTCAGTTCTGCACATTGACACGTTCCCTTCGCAAGCACACAACCTTACCTGTTTCTTCAGCCACGTGTTTTTCAACCACCGCACACGCAGTCCCACCTGTGCCAAGCTCGTGCCCTTCTTCTTCGTAGCACTGAACACCCATCGATGTTCGATGCGAAAATGATCGCAGTATGGTACATTGGAAATGCTCGTGGTTGTGCTCACAACGAGCCGAGTGCCGGGTGTGTACGCATAGCGCTGAGTTTGCGTCGTTGGTATGACACTGGGCCCAACCATGTACTTTTTGTTGTGCGTATACGTCACCAACCGAGAGGACTGGAACGTGTCCGGCTTGCTGACAGCTGCGTATAACAATGCTCCTTTTTTCCAGGGTGACAATGATACGCTCGTTGAGCCAGCAGCATGAAGAAGGCTGCAGAAGAAGGTGTCGGACTCGATCCATAATGTCGAAAAGGCTGTATCGACACTGCAAGCATAGCGACCGGTCAGTTTGTACAACGCTGAAACGTCAAAAGCAACGCTCAAGGAAAGTCATACCTGAATGCGACTTGCTCGTTCAATAGCAGATCATACTCGTCCAAGAAAACATCTTTTTCCAAGACGATTGGCGTGGCATCAGACGTCACGCAATTGACTGAGAACGATGGTGAATGAATGCGTTCTTCAGTGCACATTGCGTCAGCAGTGCCGATGGAGATATGTCTAGCATCTGTAGCTGAAGCAATAGCAACTAATTCATCGGAAACCCTTCGCCATCTCGAGTCGGGATTAGCCTCGGACTCACTTTCAGCACCTCGTGACGTCTTCTCTTGACGCTTTGCTAGATCTGACATGAGCGCTTCAGTCTCTTTCTGAATGGATCGTATTTGCAATATGCTTTGGAAACATTCATCACTGTAGAGCGCAAATGAGCAGTGCGAACGCATTTGGTAATATAGTCAGCATCAGCTTACCGGTAGACGAATGAGGCAAAAAATACTTTCTCTTCTTTCACGGTGAACTACAGCTCAACAGTACAAGATAAGTAAACAGCACTTTGACATACATGCAATACACGTAGTATCATCAATCGATGCACATCTCAAACCTCGATTGCGTTCGGAACGATCAGTGCTGTGTTTTTCTTTTCCATCAATGTAATATCTGAAAATGACGCGACCTAGAAATCAACAACGAGAGCACGTCAGACCCTATTGCAACAACCTCACCCTGCTTTCAGAGAGTGTTACATACAAATATCGTCTCGATCCATCCCGAAAAGCACATTCGACTTTTTGTCAGATAGAGGCGTCCGTGGAACGGAAAGTTTGAGAGAAATAGAGCACACGAAAAACTGCCAATGACTTCCTCAGGCTCATCTAGCTACAGCGCAGTCAAACACACTAATAGTTATGACTTGCGGCTCATGCCAATAACAAAGAACGAGATGACGAGTATTACCTTGAACTTCTTCTGGAAGTCGGACACCTCCAGAGGCTGTGCTTCAACAAATCCCTCATCTCGCTCGGTGCATGCATTGTCATCAGCATCAAACATTACGTCGCCTCCCAAATTGTCCTTTTCCGACGGAGCTTTGCCATCACCTGCCAGCGGTGTACTTGATAGCGCCGACAGCTTCTTTGGTAAAGGTGGAGCACCGCTGATCGAAATCGGTATATACGTGCTGTCCAAAGAGCTGCACGAAATTGCATCCGTATTTTCCAAAGCATCTGCTAACGACTCTCCACGCGACGCAAGGTAGTTCTGCATTACGTCGTTCAGGCTGTCGTTGCCGTGATGAGTTGCGACAATCTCTTTGCTGCGTTCGAGCGGTTGTCGGTCAGTCCTGATAAACATGGCCGCATCTTTGCTTGGATCGATTTTCTCAAAGATGGCCATAGCCTTCTTTCCAACTGACAAACTGCCGCAAATCGTATGCTCGATTGCTTTGGCCAGCGATTGCAGCGAGTATTTGGCAACCTGAAGACGATATTTCTCGTTTCTTTTGTACACCAAAATCAGTGCCCCGATTTCCTATATTCGCACAGTCACAAGCTCAGCACTAGAAATAGATTGCCACACTAAACAGCCTTTCTTCAAACGAACCTGGACATAAGTCTCGTATGTTTGCCGCAAGGAATTCGTGCTTTGGAGGACTTGTGCTTGCGATTGACGAATTTCATCCGCAACTTGCCGGATTTTAGCTTCAGGTTGGTCTTCTTTCTCGTCGAACAAACGCGCATTATCACTCAGCGCTTTCAGAGCTTGGCTGACGTCAATGTCGTCAAAAGTGGTGTCTGCGGCAGCTGATCCGGACAAGTTTGTATACGCCGTGACGAAGTTCCGTGACATCTTGTCAAGCTCCTGCTGAAGCCTTCTGTGTGCAGATGTCTCGTTGCACAGTGTCGAGTGCAGTTTCAAGAAGTCTTTTTGCGCTGAAACTCTAGTGCTTTCATACTCGCTCTTCATGGTGTCAAGGCTGAGTGACACAGGCTCGACGAGCAACGACTGGAATTCCTAAGTAGCAGACGCGACCGCAAATGTGAGGGAAAAAGACGCAATCGCTGGACACGCTTTACAACCGTACCTGATGAACTTCCATGATAAGTTTCACTTGATCCTTCACTGCCATCCATCCCTTCACTATGGTTTTACCTTCATCGCCCACAAAACTTGTTTGCTCGCTGGACGATGATGTAACAAAATGATTGGAAGTCGGAGAAAGACCACCGACCTCATGCGTTCGAAGCAGTTTGTGCAGCGACTGCAAATAGTAGGTTTCACCAGCGATAAGCTCTGCTAAGACAGATTTGATCGTTCGAATCATTCGCTGACCGTCGTCCGACATCGCCTGGATGTGCGTCATACGAAGGTAGAAAGGGTTGATCGACAAGTCTGCTTGGTCAATATCCACTTCTTCCTGGCTTGCTGAGCTCTCAAAACTTTTTTCGAGATCGACTGATGTTACAAGCGACAACTGTGTTAGAGCGCAGCCGACTACATAAGTTCAACACAATGTACAAAGCTTTGCTCACCCGTTTCATTGACCCGATTGATGTTCGTTTTCATTTGCTCGACGACTTGCTGAGACTGTGGGAAGATATCGATAAAGGCTTGTTGCATTCGCATCAGCATGTCGCGAAGATACTCCAGACGACGCTCTTCGGTCAGCTGGAAAGCGTCCAGATTCTCTCTGATCTTCCTATCAAAGTCCAGACGTTGCGCATTTGTGCATTCCACTGCCCCGAGATAGAGCTTTTCCATGGCAATGACTTCTTCCAGACATCCGCACAACTTTGCTCGTTGTCGCTCCAATGGATTGCGTCCAAACGCAGATCTGGAATCCCACATCTTCGTCAGTAGGTGGCCCGCACCCGTCGCAAGTTTTTCAGTTCGATCTTTCGGAGCTGACACTTCTTCCGACGACGATTGGCACAACAACGACGAGTTGGCATTTCCTGCTAACACGCTGTCGCTCCTCCGCATCATTGCAATGATCTCAATCGCTTCCTGGCACTTGCTGTCGTACTTTTTCCTCGCTTTGTCCAACAAAGTAGCCATTCGCTGTTGATCCCGATGCACATCGGTCCCCTCTTCAGCAGCACAAGCACAAAACACCACACTCTTTGTTGAGTCTCCACTTCCACCTTCCGAGACAAAAAGAGACAAAAAAGCACCTGTAATCAACCGATGCACCTGCTTCTCGTGCTGCTCTGCAAAGGCTGCTGTCTCCTGCACAATCGCCATTTGCATGGTCAACGCGAATGCACGTCGCACTTGAGCCAGGTGCTCTAGTGCCGAGCAAAACGTGTCCCAGCATTCTGTAAACTGCTTCGACCAATCTTCTGCCTTGACGTTCCTGAAAAACAGCCGTGTAGCAACAACAACGGCAACGACAACAACAACAACAGCAACAACAGCAACAGTACAAGTAGAAGTCCACGTGAGCTGCAAAGAACTGACAACACCTGACATGTTCACAACGAGCTGTGCCGCACTGTGTGAGCTGAAGCAGAGCTTGCGCATAAGCGCTCTCGACGTCCGCACGGTCGGTAACAAACATCGACACTGCGTGGCACAGTTGTACACTGTTTGTCGCCTTCCGAGAGACGCTGGTGAACGCCTGAAAAGGGTCTGTAGCATCGACGCCTGAAGTCGCGCAAACCGCTTTCGTTGCCGTCGTTTCCGAGCGCTCTTCGCGAGTCGCACTGGTGTTGTCCTTGTGGCTGAGCGCGGCCGGTGACTTCATGAGTGCTGTTCGGTGCGGCTGTGCTGAGCGCTGTGTACGTTTACTGCAACGTGCAGCAGAGGCTCAACGTTCGGCTCGGACTTTGTCACGTGGTTTGTTTGTTTGATTGATCGAGTGTTTGATTGTTTGTTTGATTGATTGATCGAGTGTTTGTTTGATTGCGGGGAACGATAAAGAAAAGACAGACGCTATGTTCTGACCGAGTTGGAAAGCGACGGCCGAGACCTGCTCTTTTTCAGCACCGGTGGGCGTGAGGGCGGGTTCGTGGTCGATTACCAATGAGGTTTTTTGCATTCGGTCGTACAAGTGAGCTGGTCGAGCGAGATGGGGCACAAGGGTGTTGCAAACAGCGTGCGCAATGACACACGAGTCGATGCATTCGAGGAGGAGGCGTTGCTGCATAATTACAGCAAAGCCGTAACTGGCAGCCCTAGTGCTCTCCGGATAGAGCCTCACTGGATTTCGGTTGCGAAACTAGTAGAGAAGATGGAGAGGTTGAAGTAAGCAGATGGGCCACGGCAACGGCTGCTGACCATGATGGGGTAGAACACGCTGCAATGGCACCAGGTGAACGCGTGGACGCATCGACGAGAGGGGATACGTTTCGGGTCTTACATGCGAAAACGGGCTACGGATGGCACGTTCGTTCGGCACGAGGTAGAAGTGAAAAAGTCGTGATGATTGGCCTGTGATAGTCGGAACTCTAAAGCGACAGAATCGTGTCAATGCCAGTCAGTCTTCCAGAGCCCAGATTTGCCTCTGTCTGGGGGTGAAGTTACTGTGCGCTCGTCGAGTGCGATTCCTCTACAAGCCCATATTCGCTTACGCAGCGGCCTATCCATAAGGTGTATGAGCCAGCCAAAGTATAGCGCACTTCATACGATGGGCCTCGAAGGCAATCGACATCAAGACCGTTCCTATCTCGCTCGTTCCTTCAAGCGTGTGAAAAGATTGATGTCAATGCTGTCATACAAACCGCTCCTGAGGTTTCCTGCTATCTAGCTCAGCTCATCGAGGTAGCTACGATGATCACCACTGCGGCAGAATGACCGGCAATGCTCTCAGACTCGTGACACCACCCACACTAGTAGCGGTAAGAATCGGTTCGTGATTCTTCTTCAAAGTTTGCAAATTCGGACCGTCCATTTCCGGTGGTTGCATCTAGCAGTTTCTCGTAGTCCGGTACCTGAACTCAATGTTGATGCTTTCGCACGCCTTGGGACATTTCGTGCGAAAGACACTGCACTCGCAACAGCTTGTCCAGACTACGTACTTCCTAATCTGAACGACATATGGTACAAATTTGGGGCGGTCTGAAATATGGGCCCATGTCAGTAGCATGATTGCTATGGTTGCTACACATGGGCAGCAAGGCAGGACGTTCACGACGCAACGTCAGATGTGTGTTTCCATGTTATTCAGCCATTACACTAGTCGAGATGATCTTCTTCTTCCCAGAAGACACAACGTCACACTTTCCAACCAGTCAGAGTGCAGTGTGTCGTTCCCTTAGTACTGCGCCTTCTTGGCCGCCTCGGCAGCGATCGCCTTCTCGCGCAGCTCCAGCTTCTTCTGGGTCTTCAGGCCCATGATGCCACCGCCCCACTTGCGAAGCGAAGTAGAGTCATCGTTGTACTTTGCTCGAACCACGCCCGTCAGCGAGTCAAACTTCGCCTTGTCCTCCTTGTTCACGTGCGTGAGCGCCACGGCAGCAGCGTTCTTCTGGTGCACAAGCTGACCCAGACGAGCTTTGCCCTTGATGATGCAGTACGGGATGTCAAACTGACGGCACAGAGCAGGTAAGAACACCACCAGCTCAATCGGGTCCACGTCGTGGGCAATGACCACGAGCTTGGCTCGCTTCGTCTCAATCAGCGTAGTCACGTGGTTCAGTCCGAACTTGACGACGCAAGGCGGGGCCGAAGCCTCCTCCTTACCAGCAGCAATATTGCGAAGACGCAAAGTCTTGGCAGCCTTGGTCTCCGGCTGGTACTTCAACAACAGCTTGAACAAATCCGTTGCAATGTTCTTGTCCAGAGCGTTCGAAAACTGGTTGATCGAAGGCGGCACCTTCAGACGCTGGTACAAAATCTTGCGCTGACGCTGGATGCGCACATATCGCGGCCAGCGCACGAACCGGGACAAGTCGCGCCTGGGCTATAACAGAGCAAAACAAAACCAGCAGCAAACATGAGTACGACGATGCAGATACATGTCTGACACAATAGTGGCCAGAGCTCAGTGTCCGAAAGAAAGCGAGCTTGTGTATGCCTGAACGGCACACGAGAAGCAGTCCTTTACCCTTGAGGTACAGCTCATCGCTAGCAATGTCGCTGCCACCACAAGTTTGTGTCATTGCGGTCGTGGAAGACCCGCTACACTGTTCTTCAGTGCGAAAGAGAGAGCAGAGACGGATGGGGACAGTGCTTCCACTAGCTTCCCTCCTCAATCACCTGCTCTCTCGATCGACACTGAGAGGCGTGAAATCGCACCCCTTCTCGCAATCGAGAGACGGGGGCAGGGCGATACCGAATGGAAGCGCGGCGCATCAAAATACCTGAATGTCACCGCCCCTGCGGAAGTTCTTGGGCCTCGATACGAAGAGAGGGTTCTTCTTCGCGTTCGCCGCGACTTTCACCGACTTAGTCGTCCGGACCGTCGTCGTCGTCTTTGTGGTCGTGCGTTTGATCTTCTTGGTCGGCATGGTGTCGTAGATGGCGAATAAACGAATGGGCCCCTGCTGGACGAGGCCGCCTCATCGCCAGTCATTCGTGTCCAGCCAATGAAGACGGAGAATGTGGTCCACGCACCGACGGCAGCAGAAAACTGGCCGAACTCACACATTTTACCGAATCGAAACCCTGCACCTATTAGTCGATCCCCGTACGTTTTGGTCGTGGACCAAATTAGAGCAAACCCGTACACAGATTTGAAGCCCGGTCTGGTTTTTCACACATTGTTTAAGGTGGATATCGTCCTGATCCTATTCAGAAGAGCACTCACTTGTAAACAAACCAAACATGACTGCTTCGGACGGGTAACAACGCTTATGGGACGATTCGTTGCAAAACAAAACAAAAGGTATTGCCACGACAGCCAGCCGTTCGACTCGGTGTCCGGTCAGGTTATCGAGGGGAAGCTGATCCGCAAGTGAGCTTCGATCGGACGGGTAGGCGAGTGAGTCCGTTGCCACGAGAATGGGTGCATTCGTTCGACGAGAGCTATACTGCATGTGCGAACCGCTGGATGAGATGTGGATCTGGAAACGGTATAAAGGGGTGGCGGCAACGCAGTGCGTCGGTCTGACTGCTCCAGTCTACGATTGGGTCAATGAAACGGTGATCAAAAGTTTACCGTTGATTGAAAGTCATTGTTCGATTTCTGCCAGCATTTGTACGAGGAGATATCCTGCTTACGCCATCATCCTGTGCAGACTTGACAAGGAGGTCACTACGGAATGGATAGCAGTGCACACATCACAATCGAAGAGGGGGATCGTTCGATTGCAACGACGATCTTTCATGACAACCCAAGTATGGTGGCACACTTGGCATCACGATGTGCGCACTCGATTCAATAGAGCTGGACAGCAAACACAGAGTCAGATGCTAACGATACCAAATGAGCATGGCCCGGTGTTTCCGATAACGAGCGGATGAGCGAGGGGCCGTCCTGTCAGCAGGCCTGGACATTTGTGGCACGCACTCACACTTTGATCCGCTACCCTGGCGGGTGTTCGATTACAGGGCGCCGGAGATTGGCCAACATGGGACGAGCAACCATCCCATGGGTGGCTGCGTAACCGGGCCGCACCTCAGGGTGTGCAGTGCCGGGCGCCGGAGGCCCTTTAAGCCGTAAAGCCCCATAGTGTAATGAGGGGTGCGGGTCCTGTAAAGAGTTCAAACTGAGTCACAGTACTCGCAGACCACCCGACGGTGATCTGAAGGACCGCGCGGCATAAATCTCTCATACTTTGATCCGCTTCTTGCACAGAATCAGGCGATCGCTAGTCTGTGATTTGTAAACCCTCCATGTATGCGAATCCTTCCTTTCAAATCGGATATGTTGTGAGCAGGCTCGAAGTACAGATACACGGGCAGACTTCGGTAAAATTCGCTACTAACAATGCTCAAATTGGTAAGCATCGACCAGCAACACAAGTCCAGATTGCCATTCCCGGGGTTTGTCATTCGTAGTACTGCACATCAACAACATGCCATAGTCTCACATTGCAACGATCATATACGATTATTCGTAACGTGTACCTTAAGAAGCTAGAAACTCGTGCAGCCGAGCGTACACGTCAGCACCGCGGCGCAGCACCTCGCTCTTCCACGAGTTACTCTGGTGTAGGTAAAACACGTCCCTGAGCTTCTGAGCGTACGGCAATCGGGCTGCTGACGACGAATCGTGCTTGTACATCACATTCTCTTCAATCAAAGCCTTCAGGATAAAAACGCCAGGCACTGTCCCGAATTCCTGACACAACAAGACTGCATTTTCTTTCGTTTGCGGCGATAACAGACCGGCCACACCGTTGTAGACAAGGCCGCCAACATCATCGTAGCCGCGAGACACCGGGTTGTCGTTATCGTGCGCAAAAACCACCTTGTTCGCGTACTCAGGGCCGAAAAAGACACTGCGTGCTACAGCCACATCGCTGTCCGTGCCCAGCATGAGTGTGTCGACTCCAGCAGGTCCGAGTCCGGTGTGCACATCAATCATCGCAAACTTCGTCACGACGTCAAAGTCCACATGTTTTTGTAAAAACTCTCGCAGTAGCACTAAGCTCGGTTCAAGCTCGGTTCCCCCGTAAAACAGCGTCCACGGAAAACGGTAGTTCCCACTGACAGTCGCCCGCTTGATTGCGTAAAAGCCCTGGGAAGCCAAATGCCACATGCCTTTGACCCAAAACCAGTTTCGGATCTCGCTCATGTCCGTCGGGTTCAGCAGGTCGTAGACAGTTTCGTACCCAAGCCCATCCAACTCGCGTGCTTGGCGTTCTTGGAACTGTTCCGGAGTGAGCCAATTGCGGTTCAAGTCCACGCTGTGCTCGTTGGACCGTCGAAGATGAGCGAAGCCATACGCGTTGAGTGCGTGCACGAAGATCACCGTGGGATTGAGTCGTGAAGCAGAGCTCGAGGGCGTCGCGGCTTGCTCCAACAGCGCTGCCTGAATGGCACTCCCTGCAAACCCCTCGACGCCGTGTGTCCCTGATACATGCAGTAGTACGCGCTCACTCGATCCTTGAAGCACGGCTACATCCACAGTCAAGTCTAGCGACTGCAAATGCTCCAGAGGGAGCACAAAGAGCTTGGCACCTGCTGCCTCGGCGCGTGTGCGAAAAAGGGCTCGCGCAGAGTAGTACGAGTCACGAAACTGGCGCTCAGTGGTCAAGTGGCTTGTCGAATAGAAGTCCACGTACGTGTCCAGCGGCGCAAAGTCGTTGTGCGCGTGCAGCAGTAGCGCCGCGAGCATCACAACGAGCGCTTCGACCCGCATGAGCATTGGCCGATGCGTCGTGGTGTGTCGGTTGAGCAAGAATGTACCGGTATCTGCCGGTAGTAGTCGTACCGGTGATACCGAAGCACGGCATACCACGACGGGAGTCGTACCTACCGCCTTCGCGTCCGACGTTTCGTGGTGCCCTATTATCAGACGAGTGATCGACACTGAAAGGTCGGGCGCGGACTTTCGGCGCTCGATCGCGCGACGACAGACGGATTGACGTCATGGGTCAGCACTGTTCATGCCTCGAGCACACGCACAAGTACCAGAGGAGGCAGTCGGACGAGTTGGGTACCGCGGACATGGAGAGAGGGGGCGGCGACAATGACGACGACGGCGATGATAGTGACGACGGTGACGATGCAGGAGACGATGAGCAGGAACTGGAGCTGCTTGGGGGTTGTGACCACACGGAGAAGAATCGTGAGATGCCACGATCTCGAAGTAAAACGGATTCCAGTGGACGGAGCAGTCAGTGCGGATTGCTAAGGCGAGTTGGGTCTACTCGCACGTCTGGGCTGGTACTGGACGGAGACGAAGACGAGGTGGACTCGGAGGTTCCGCACTTGCGACGCGAGTGCGGCGTGGAATGGATACATTGGGATGCAGACAGCCACGCGATGCCATTTTCTCGGCCAGGAGAGCTTCAGAGGTTGCTACACTCGTATCAGGAGGCGACAGGCGTTGTGAGTGTCGTTTGTTGCACGAGGAAGTCGTTGCTGTCTGTCTGTCTGTCTTATTTACATAGGATCGATTGTTCTTATCGGTGGTTCTGTCGCTGTAGATTGACGAAGGACAATTAGAACTCGAGTGTATCGTGTGCTTGGGCACGTTCTCAGTGGTACGTGCTGCTGAATGGGATCTGATGACGCTGCTGTCAGTGGTGTGACGTCATTTGTACGTACCGATCGATGTAGGACGACCCGAAGGTGCGGACGTTGTGCATGTGCGGTATGAATCGCACGAACTTCCACATGAGCTGCTTGCTCGAGTGGCTCAATCGTGACGCCAACTGCCCAGTGTGCCGCGAGTACCTTTACTTTGAGGACTCGTGAGTACTTTACGACCACAACACCGCCACAGGCAGCGATTCGTCACGTGGCCGTCGCAGCTTGTTCTGAGCCTCGAAGACGAGCGTCACTGCCAACAGTGTCAACATTTCTATTCGCGGCCGTTTCAATGGGGCATCGGAGAACAGCACGCGCTGCTTGACCGGACCCTGCGCACGTGATGGCTTATCAGGACTTTGGACGACTTGCCTCGTGCTATTTAGAGTTATTTTAATGGCAGTACAGTTTTGCTGCTGCGTAGGTCCCACCAGTGCCCACTCCACACATACCGCACGATGACAATGTCATTTCTCATAAGCTTAACATGCACTAGCGTTCTACTGCTGGCCATACTATTTTGACTGGGCGGTTGCCGTGACACAGAGGCCCTTGCGCCCTGATCGGATACTTCTCTTGCTTCTTCATGTTCCCAACCCGACGTGGTCGCGAAGAAAGTACGCACACGCTACCCCCATGACACCAATCGATACGGCCGTGACGACGGTAGAAATCTATGGCACCAAACATCAACAATTGGTTATCGTTTACGCAAAAACAACACATGCTGGCACGAGCGTGCCTGCCAAGAGCCCACTGCAAAGTCTGCTTTGTTTCCATTCCTGTTGAGAGCACCAAACATTGTCAGTAGGGTGACTGTGTTTTTTGCAGGATAAACACAGGCCAACTAACCTTGACTGACGAGGACGCAATGGCAAAACGTCCGTCAGCATGGGTGTGGTCACACTGGGCCATGGTTGGTACGCGTAAGGAAACTCGACAGTGCACATGTCCAAGCTAGTGCGGCAGCAAGCATTCAACCCCCTGCCGTGAGCATGTGCATCCGAGACCATTCTATATGCTGTCGAACATGTATCGTACGCTGAGGCGGCCTTCACTTCGCTTTGCTGCTGGAGCTGCTTTGGCGGCAACTGGTGGAGCAAAACAAGAGCGCGTGCAATCACCTTCTCAATGTCCATAGAGCGTGGCAGATTCGAAAGCATTCCATGCATCGTGCCGAAGTCGCATTCACATCGGAGAATGGCCTCTCTCGACTCGAGGCAAACCTGCAACAACGCATTTATTGCGCCCATTGGTAACGACTGGTACCGAGCGGTAACACGTCAAACAATAGCGCTAGCACGCACCGCTGCGGACACGTAGAGGCTAAAGAGCGGGTGGGTCACGAGAAACACGTCAAACAATCGAGCAACATCTCCGAAGTGCTGTAGCTGGTGTGCAAACCACGTGATCATCCAGGGCAACGCAAAGTATGGCTCCACCTAGATACATACAAAGCATCGAGTATCAGTGCCGCTACGAGATCAAATCGGCTAGTCGTACGCACCGCCACTGTAACCGACGTACCCCGGACTCGTGCAAATGCTGGAACAGCAGCTCGTCCGCTGCATGCAGCAATGGAAACAGTAACCGCGTCATGGACATCACTGGCTCCAGTCCTGACCGCATCGATTCTCGGTGGTATGTCTCACTAACATTCTGGAGCACGCGCAACGTCGTCTTCGAGTGGCCCAATGTCAGGAGAAACACCGACACGATATCGTGATACCCCTGAAAGTAAAACAGCTCGTCGTTCGCGGCCAGGACGCCCAATATCAGCTGTGCCAACGCACGACGTTTCACGTGACGCTCAGCTTCTTTCATTCCTTGCAAAACGTCATAGTGCCACAACGATCGCTCCACGTCCTTCTCCACTTGTGCGGCATCCCGATGCGCTTTGGCCACGCTTTTGCCCGTGTGAGCACCGCCCGTCCGTCGCATTGTGGCCAAGTCACGTCCACCCAATAGAAATGGCCACAATGCCTGTCGAAACGCGTCCGAAACGAGCCCTTGGGGCGTCACAGCGAGTCGACGAACCTCACGAAAACATGCGTCACGTTCGTCAGCAGCTGCAACGTGGTCGACACGTTCTACCGCGCGCAGCTGTAGCACGACCGCGCGCAGTTCCCTCTCCTTGTGACGAAGCGAACGACGCTCTCGCTCGGCCGGCGCTTGGCCGGGCATGCCCCGTACATGGCGTCGGTCGTTTGCGCTGCGGTTTTTACCCATGGATGCGACTGGCGACGGTGGTACGCACGTTGGACTCGCAAATGCGACATGGAGCTGGTCGTCCACTCGTTATTGAGAGAAAAAAGATCGCGGCGGGGCAAAGACGGGGCACTGGTTGTACCGCTCGCCGACCCCACATCTGACTCGCCGCCGCTGTGAGTTGAATAGGCGGTCGCTGCATTGAACGACCAGGTTAGACGACGGCGTTTTGTGTCGTGTCGAGCGTGTTACTGTCGTGTTACCGGTATTTCGTCCACTCGTCGCCCGTTTGCGGTCCAGCCGAGAATCCAGCGCGCGCATGGCTCGTCTGACGTGGCTCGTTTCTGGGCGAGCGAGAACGCGAGCGCAGCGTTGGCATCCGAGCGACCGCCTCAGAACCCTCGAGCGAGTCCCATCATTTCACTATGTAGCTAGCGATTTAGTACATCGCTCCATCCCGCGATCGATCGGTGTATGGATGTGCGTCAATGCCTCGTGAGCGTCCTGAACCGATGCGGCAGCTCTTTTTCTACGTCGAAAACTAGCATGTTCGTTCGTAGGGTGTCCGATGCTGTCGAATGTCTGATTTGTAGCACATTAACTCGTTCATTGCAATCGTAGCGCGTAGTGGTTGTTGCTAGTGTTCGTAGTGGTTGTTGTTGTTGCTGCTGCTGCTGCTGCTCTCTCTCTTGACGTTTGTATGTTCATCGCCACACGTGCAGTCGCGCGATCTTGAGTATGTTAGCACGAACAACTCGACTGCCCTGCGGAATAGCCAGCGAGCGAAGCGATGGCAGACAGGCAGGCGGGCCAGGCGACAGGTATAAAACGCCGAAGGGACGACGGCCGACGACCCCCACCCCCTCGTCTCGACATAAAAGTGACTGCGAGTAATTGCAGCCCCAACCCTTCGCGCACTTCCTCGTGCTTTCGCCTTACCAGTCGTCGTCGCCATTCGCGATAAGAATTGCGCCGAGCCAGCTGGTCGATCGCACGTGGACGTAGCCAGGCGTGCTGCCGCCCCCCCGCTACTGACTCTTTCTCCCCCGCTCTCCCACTTCGCCTGTGCTCCCGGTCGGTCAGTCTTGAACGCTCTGCAGCCCGCGCGCAACATGGCGCACTCCGTGAGCGACGGAGACAGCGATGACGCCCGGCAGTACAGCAAGCCGCTGCGCCAGCAGAAGAAGCTCTGCGATGAGGCCATGGAGCTGGTCAACGCGGGTGTGGCCATGCAGAACGCGTCGCCGCCCGACGCGGCTGGGGCCGACGCTAAGCTCTCGCGCGCCGTGACGCTCATGGAACAGGCACTGGCTATCGAGTACCCCTCGCAAGAGGAGCGGGACGCGAGCCAGCGCCTGAACAACAAGATGAACCGCTACGTCAAGATGATCCGCAGCCAGCGGGAGAAGGGCGTTGCTGGCGGTGGCGCGGGGCGTCGACACAACACCAAGTACAACATCTTGCCCATGGACAGCTTACCGACGACGTACAATGTCGTGGTGGACTTGCTCACAAAGTACGACTCGTGGACTCTCTATGTGGAACGAGATAGGACGCAGCTGACCGTGTGATATGTGTTGTGTCTCTTTTCTGTTGCTATCGTGTGTGTGCCTCAATAGCTCGTCTGCTCTGGGAGATGTCTTTGAAAGCCTCAAGACCACGTTTGGGTTCCAAGAGTCTAATGTCGCCAACCAGAAAGAGCACGTGCTGCTCATGCTGACGAACTTTAAGCTGCAAGAAGAGGAGCCGAGCACAAATGGGGAAGGCAATCGGCTGGACCGGCAGCAGGAGCTCGAGATGGCCAACAAGGGCATCAAGCGCTTCCATGCCCGCATCTTTGCCAATTACACCAAGTGGTGCAAGTACGTGTCAACGAAGCCTGCGTTCACGAGCGATCCGGTCGTGGACATTGTGCTGTTCTTCCTCATTTGGGGAGAGGCTGGCAACTTTCGTCAGATGCCAGAGTGTCTCTGCTTTCTGCTGCATGCCTCGCTGCCTCAGGCTTCGTCCCGGGGTGGCAGCAAAAACCCTGGCGACTTTCTCGTCGAGGTCATTCGTCCCATGTACAATGAGATCAAAAAGGACAACGACAAGAAGACGTCGCAAGGTGCGCGAGCCCCGCACGCTGAGATTCGTAACTACGATGATTTCAACGAGTTCTTTTGGAGCAAGAAATGCTTGAAGTACAACCCGTCGACTATTCACGAACCTTTTGGCGAAGTAGACAAAAAAGGCCGCCCGAAGGTGATCAAGAAGAGCTTTGTCGAGAAGCGCACGTGGATCCGCGCGGTGATGTCGTTTCGCCGTATTTTCTGCTTCAATTGTGCGCTGTTTCTGGCTGTCTGCGGTTTTGCACTCAATGTGGTCATGTATTGCCCGGACACACCGATTCTGTACGGCGCTGACCTGAGCAACGGCAATTCCCGAGGCTTTACGGTTTTCGGTAAGAACTTCACCGCGTCTGACATCACTGCGTATGGATCAGGAGATGGCGCAGACGACAAGTCTAGCTCCGGCTCGCAGCCGACGTGCAACCAGCAGATGCTGGCCACTTGTCTCGGCATGACGTACACTTCCGACATTTTTGATACCATCCCGATCGATTTCAAGGCCTTGCTCCAAGTCGTGCCCTTCACCGACTGCTTGGAGAAAAGCGCTGGTCGCTGCAGCTGCTACTTGGACCTTGTCGACAACTGTTTTTCCGAAACGGGTCACACGATAAAGGTCACCGAAGACGAGCGTGCGTTTTCTTCGTCGAGTGAGTTTGACCAGAGCATGTGCGTGGTGAACTGGCGCGCTGCGGTTGAGTCCATTATCAAAGACGCTGGTCCGGGTAAGCTGAATTGCGCGATCTGTCAATTGGGCATCAAGGCGCTGATTACGAACGGCAAGATAGGCGAGTTGATTGGAGGGCTGCTGAAATTTGGCGACGGCAAGCCTTTGGGTCCTGACGAAAGGAACAGCACTGATCGCACGGATATGGGTGGTCTTGCCATGGCTGCTGGTGCGGCATGCCTGATTCTGGTCTGCGTGTGCGAGTTCTTCAACAAGATCACCTCACGTGTCGGTTCGGGCTACGTCGGACGGTCAATGCCTGTGCCTTTTCGAGCATATTGTCGTTACACTTGCTTTTGGCTGCTATTGTTTGCTTGCAAGCTCACGTTTGACTATCAGTACATGATCAAGGCTCTGGTGGAAACGACGTTGTTCATCTGGTACGCGAACGAGGACGAGTACCTACCATACTCGAAGTTCATCCTCCAAGTGACGTTCCACAACATCATTTACATCATGTTCCTGTGGGTCCCATCCTTTTTCGTGTTCATGTATGACGCGCAAATCTTCTACTCGGTGTTGTCGGTGATTTTCGGCTCGTTCGCGGGTTTCAACCTACGCATCGGCGAACTGCGCTCGTTCCGCGTACTACGACTTTCATTCAAGTCCATTCCCCGCATGTTCAACAAAAAGATTGTCCCGAACATTCAGGATAGCGCGGCTGATGGCAAGAAGAAGAAGAAAAAGAAGAAAAAAGGCGAAAAGGAAGAGTCCACGATGCCTGTGCGGCAGTTCGAGCGTGTATCCATGGCGGACGGAATCAAGCCTCTCACCGTGAAGGCGCAAATGTACTCGAATCTTCTGGACCAGAGCAGCGACCATCAGTACAATGAGGTGAAGACGCCCAATGACAAGGACGACGCGAGTTCGAGCAGCCGACAGTCTCAGCTTGGGTCCGTCACGGGCGTCTCCGGAGCCGACTTTGAGCGAACGATTCCGTTTGCAATGGCCTGGAATCGCTGCTTGGGCAGTCTCCGCGAGGCAGACATCATTAGTGATCGCGAGCTGAATGTTCTGAGCTACTTGATTGACTCGAAAGACGCGGAAGACCGGAAGTTGTACCCTCCGGCTTTCCTGACTGCAGGCAAGTTGGATGAGTCCATCGACATCATTGAGGACTGCTCGGCTGTGTACGAGAAGCTGAGCTCGGACAAGAAGAAAAAGGAGAAGACGCTGCAAAAGATTGAGAACGCGATGCGCGAGCGTCTGACTAAGGATGACTTGCGTGTCGAGTCGATCCTCGGGTCATACAAGTTCGCGTCTCAAGCCGTGCGCTTCTTGCTCGGGGACGAGCACAAGGATCTGAATGAATGCTTTGACTTCATGGAGGAAATGGCTGCGCAGCAATCAGTTCTCAAGGGTCTGAATCTGAAGAGCCTTCACGAGTGCCGTGCAGCCTGTGCCGAATTGATGAAGGCGCTGCTTGAGGTGCCGAAGACGACATCCGACAACAGCATTAAGTTCCAGCGGGCGCTTTACCGCGTCATTGACTGTGTGGAAACTGTGCTGAATTGCATGAAGAAGATTCTGGTAAAGCAAGAAAACCTGGTACAGATTCTAACGGACACTCCGCTAAAGCAGAGCTCGTTTTTCTTCCCAGGCGACGCTCAGCAGTACGCAAACATGCAACTGCAACGCTTGGTGAACTCGGAGGCGGCGCTAGACATTGTGTCACGTGCCTATCAGCTGTTGACTGTCGACAACTTTGACGCTGAGCCTCGCTCCGAAGAAGGACGCCGCCGCCTGCGTTTCTTTGCGAACTCGTTGTTCATGGATATGCCGGACGCCAAGCCTATTCGCAAGATCCGTTCACTGACTGTATCAACGCCGTACTACAACGAAATCGTCATGTACTCGATCAAGGACTTGACATCGCAGAACGACGACAGTATCAAGTTGTTGTATTATCTGAAAACCATCTATCCGTTTGAGTGGGAGAACTTGTTGGAACGCATCCAAGCAAAAGACATGGAGGAGGCGCTTAAAAAATTTCCTGAAGAGACTTTGCTGTGGGCAAGTTATCGTGGTCAGACCCTCGCCCGTACAGTGCGCGGAATGATGTACAATGAAGACGCTATCCGCTTTCTCCACTGGCTGGAAATCTGTGAGAACGAGGTGATGCACCAGTTTGGGTGCCCGTGCAACAAATGCAAGCGTCTGGACGATATGGTTGCGCTCAAGTTCAATTACCTGTGCACGTGCCAGATCTACGGAAAGCAGAAGGATGAGCAGCGGCAACAAGCCGCTGATCTTGAGTACCTGCTCCGCAAACACCCGACCTTGCGCGTGGCTTATGTGGATGGTCCGAAGAAGGTGAAGGAAGGTCCGCCTAAGTTTTTCTCTGTTCTCGTGCGTGCCGACGGTGAGAACATTGCCGAAGTGTACCGCGTGGAGCTACCTGGCAACCCGATTATTGGTGAAGGTAAGCCTGAAAACCAGAACCACGCCATCATCTTCTCGCGCGGCGAGCTGCTGCAGTGTATCGATATGAACCAAGATGGCTACCTCGAGGAAGCACTGAAGATGCCGAACCTGTTGTCGACAAAGGACTCGGAGACTGCGAAGTGCCCCTTGACGATCATCGGTTTCCGCGAGCACGTCTTCACCGGTGGCGTGTCGAACCTTGCCAGCTTTATGTCGATCCAGGAACTGTCGTTCGTGTCGCTTGGTCAGCGTATGCTTGCGTTGAACCACGTCCGTCAGCATTACGGCCACCCAGACATCTTCGACAAGTTGTTTGCGATGGGCTGTGGCGGCACTGCGAAGGCGTCCAAGGGCGTCAACCTTTCGGAAGATATTTTCGCCGGCTTCAACACCACTCTGCGTGGCGGCCGCGTCTCACACGAGGAGTTTATCCAGGTGGGCAAGGGTCGTGATGTCGGTATGCAGCAGCTGGTTCTGTTCGAGGCCAAGCTGTCTTCTGGCGCAGGCGAGTGTGTGATTTCGCGCGATGCGCTGCGCATGGCCACTCGGCTCGACTTTTTCCGTCTGCACTCTTGGTTCTATGGTAACTTGGGCTGGTACTTCACACAGACCATGACGGTCGTGGGTGTCTTCTTCTTCATTTATGGCAAGGTGTACATGGCGCTGAGTGGCATGGACAGTTTCTTCCTGGAGAAGGGTGGACTCGGTATCGGTGGCACGCTGAACACGTCGTGGGCATTTCAGTTTGGATTCTTGCTTGTGGTGCCAGTTGTAGCCGTCGTCGGCGTGGAGCAAGGTTTCCGTCACGGTGTGACGTACCTGTTGTGGAATATCATGACGCTGGGCCCGCTGTTCTTCACATTTCAGATGGGCACGCGTATGCACTACTTTGACCGCACACTGGTGCACGGTGGCGCAAAGTACCGTGCCACGGGTCGTGGTTTCACGATCAAGCACGAGAAGTTCGCGGAGTTGTATCGCTTCTACGCGTTCAGCCACTTTTACCGCGCTGTCGAGCTGGTGTTTTTGTTGATTCTGTTTCGTGCGTACGGCACGTTCTCGTGGTGCAACTGTTCGTGGACGCAGGACGTGTTGTTCTACAACTACTACAAGCCTTCGGACAATGACTGGAACACGCGATGCTACGCCAACTACTACCAGACATGTGTGCAGCCCACAAACCAGAACTACGGCATGATGTCGTATTCTCTGTGGATCATTGCCGCGACATGGTTATGGGCGCCGTTCTTCTTCAATCCGAGCGGGTTCGACTGGGACAAGCTGATTGAGGACTACACGGACTGGCAGAACTGGCTGAAGACGACAAATGACTCTGCGGCCAGTTGGTCGGGCTGGTGGTCGAATGAGGTGGAGTACTTGGAGCACTCGACGAGAGGCGCACGCATCGTGTCCATGATCCGCAAGATGCGATTCTTTTTCATCGCCTACGGCATGTACCTGCAGTTGGTGTACAGGACATACTACGAGGAACGGGACCTCCAGATCGAGAAGGGTTCAATGGCTTCCTACGCACTCGCTGGACTCATGTTCATCATCGTGCTGCTGCTTCTGTGTTGCGGCTACATTGCCAGTCGTGTGAAGAAGAAATTGACCTTCAAGCAGAAGAAGCTGCGCAAGATGAAGTTCATACTATCTTGCTGCGGTCTTCTCGTGGCTGCTGCGAGCCTGCTGATCGTGTCGATGGTCAATTTACTGGAGATCATCGTCATCGTCTTGATCGCCGCTTATTGGTTCCTGCAGCTCTGCATTTACCGCAATCAGACGAACCACGTGGTCGTGCGCGGAATGGCGCGTTCGTATGACCGATGGGTGGGCTGGATCATTTTAGGTCCAGTGCTCTTCATCGCCATGTTCCTGCCATTCCTCTCGTCGTTCCAGCAGCGCGTCATGTTCAACAACGCATTCACGTCGGGCCTCGAGGTGTCGAAGCTCTTTGCAAACGAGGCAGCGTCGTCCACGAGCAAGATTGTCAAGGTCAAGCGCGTGGCCAAGAAGAAGAAACGAAGTGACTAGAGCTAGCAATCACGCGTTCGGATTCCTGGATTGTGCCGAGCGAGGCTTTGAGTGCGTCGTGCTATGCGGTGCGTTCTACTGCACGGAAGCAAGACGCGCGACATGGTTGTCAGTGGCAGTAGAGTGCCCTGCTGCTGCGGCCATTGTCCTCATCTCCTTTTCCCAAGTATTTTTTTCATAGCAATGTAATGCACGTGTAAAAACTCTTTTTCTTCCTTTTCTTGAAACGTGCGGACGACAGGCGAAAGCAGGAGGTCGTCTAGCGGGCAAAACAGCCCGAAATGATGCGGCCACTGAGTCCAGTGGCCCCGCAGTGACACCGTCCGACCTCGAGCTGGGAGGAGCACCGAGAGGTGGCACGACTGATATTGCTCGCTACTACTTGAGCATTCGTACGGTACGCTGATGCCGCGGAGCTCAGATCCCACTGAAATGCATACAGATCCCACTGAAATGCATGCGTGTATTTGATACCATGTTGTCAGTAATCACCTTCTTTCTTCTTGTGCATGAAGCCGCCCTCACAGTAGTACTACTTGCACGTCAGAACGTGTCCATAGCGGTCGCACATTTGCGTGAGCTGACCCTCATAGTCGTCAAGGAGTCGCACGATGTACAACCGCAAGCTTTGCTCGACACCTGCTTTTTTCGCACCAGCGCTTCTGTTCCAATCGCACGGTTCTACTCGACCAGGTGGGACTCCCACGCGACAGCACGAGATTCTTCCCGAGATGGTCTGGTCACAACTCATCGAGAGCAGCTCTTCTTTTCGTCAGCCATGAGCTTCGATTGATCCGACTGGACGACACGGACGACCGAACCTCTTGTGGCTTCGGTGCTTAGCCATGAATTCTACAATGCTAGACGACTCGCTCACACAGCAACGGACCTGCACGGCACGTGAAGGGGTCGCGAGTTGTGCCGAGGCCGCGACTTGTCGCAGGAGCCTTTCCTTTACCGGACAAAGCCAGGGCTCATTCACTCACCAAATATTGAAACGATGCCGGGCAATCCGTCCCGTGCGCGGCCTCCACCCCTACTGAGGTTTCTGTCGCCCACAGCGCCCACACACGTGCGCAAGTGACGATAGGTTTACGGCGTTGACCGCGTGGATGGCATACAAAAGCCGCAAAACCACATGCTGTCTCCGCGACCCGTTCACGACGTGGCGCGGGAGAGACGGGACAACTGAACACTCCTTGACTTGATGGCAAAAAGAACATTTACGACAGGAACCCACTCATCGATTTGTACGAACATTTCCATCACGTGCCGGCGATAATAGCGCACGATTACGTCGACGCGGTCGCATAGAATCTAGCGCGTAACGCAATGACGGGCACATCGCCCGCCGTCGACATTTTGCCTGAAGATTGAGCGTTATGAAACCGGCAAGTCGAGGACTTGTGTGTGTGTGTGTGCGTTCGTTCCACCACCAGACCTGCGTAACGCTCCATGGCCGCAGCCAGTCGTTTCATCTGGCGTTCTGGTGGCGCGCGTCTCGCTGACGTCGCACATGTCGCACGGTGCGAGATTGCCCAGTTGTAGTGCGGCGTTGCACGGCGTTGTACCAAATGAAGGCAAAAGGTATACGCGTTCCGGATAGTGCGGCCATCATCCGGACCTGCCTGCGCGAGCGCGACCGTTGATCAGGCGCTCGCGCAACCTAAGCACTGGCTTTCTCTCCGCCCGAGCTCTCTGCGAACCCTACGCGAACCCTACGCGACATCTGAAACCTCTCGTGACTTGCGTTGAGTATACTGCGCTGGCTCGAGGCGTTTCCGAGGGTCCGCGTGGAAAGGGGGAGGAGCCCGGCCATCCAATCCCAACCTTTTCCGCGCCCATTTCCCTTTCTCTTTTTTCGCCCGCAGGCGAGTGAGTGAGTGCGCGCGCAACGCGACTTGGAGGATTTCCGCGTGAAGGCCGTGCCCCCCTCTCCTCCTCCCCTCGTGTGCCGCCCCCGCCCCGCCCCGCCTGCTCGCCCCTCTCGTCTGTGCCGACCATGAGCCAGCGCGTGCATGGCAGCGAGCGCGAGAGCAGCTCCGTGGGGATTTTGTCCGAGGCCCTGGACATGCAGCGCCAAATGTGCGACGAGGCCATGGGCCTCGTGAACGCTGGCGTGGCCATGCAGAACGCGTCGCCGCCCAACGTGGCCGAAGCCGAGCGGAAACTCACGCGTGCGGTGGACATTATGGAGCAAGCGCTGAACATCCGCTACAGCTCAGCCGACGAGAAGGACGCAGCGGACCGTCTGAACAACAAGATGCTGCGGTACGTCAAGATGATTAAGAGCCAGCGCGCCAAGAGCGTGGTCGGCAGTGCCGGCGCCAAGGGACGGAACGTCAACAAGCACAATATCCTCGAGATGGACCGCTTGCCCGAGGTCTATGCGCCTGTGCTCCAGTTGCTCGACAACTCGAGCCACTTGGGCGACATTTGCGAGACGCTCAAGCGCACGTTTGGCTTCCAGGACAGCAGCGTCGTGAACCAAAAGGAGCACTTGTTGCTGTTGCTGACCAACTTTAAAGAGCAGAGCAGCCACGACGACGATGGGACCCTGAAAAAAAAGAAAAAGAAGAAGAAACAGGACGATACCGAGACGATCGACGACTATCTGCGGCAACGCGACCCGCAACTTGAGCTCGATCTGGCGTCCAAGGGAGTTGCGCGTCTCCACAGTCGCGTGTTTGCCAACTACAAAAAGTGGTGCAAGTACGTGTCGCAGAAGCCCAAGTTCTCGAGCGACCCGCTTGTGGATATTGCGTTGTTTTTCCTCATCTGGGGCGAGGCCGCCAATCTTCGTCAGATGCCGGAGTGTCTGTGCTTTCTGCTGCACTGTATGCTGCCGAAAGTCAGCAGCGGGGTCAGTGAAGAGCCGGGCGCGTTCTTGGAGACTACGGTTCGTCCGATGTACGCGGAGGTGCGTCGTGAAAGCGACAAGAAGACAAGCAAAGGCGCACGAGCAGCTCACCGGAACATTCGAAACTATGACGACTTTAATGAGTTTTTCTGGACGAAAAAGTGCTTGAAGTACGACCATACCACCATCGGCGAGGCGTTTGCCAATTATGACAAGAAGAGTCGTCCGAAGATTGTCAAAAAGACGTACAATGAGACGAGGAGTTGGCTGCGTGCGATCATGTCATTTCGCCGCATATTCTTTATTAACTGTGCTTTGTTTTTGGCAACGCTGGGGTTTGCCGTCAACATTGTGCTGTATTGCCCCGAGTCGGCCATTATGTACGGTGATGACGTCCAGCCGATGTCGGCGTCCGGGCCGCTTGAAATCTTGGGCAAGAGATTCGCCGTACCGCTGGACGCAGAGATCATGGAAAACACCGAGGACACTCTTTCGGACGAGATTGATACGGACACCGGTGCAGACCCCCAGTGCCTCTATTCCAAACTGGCGACATGCCTTGGCGTAGGCTTTTTTTCGTCCGCTTCGGACACTTTTGGCACACTACCTCGAGACTTCAAGGAGCTTCTCGACATCGTGCCATTCACGAATTGTGTCGAGAGGATTGTGGGCAGATGTAAATGCTACCACGACTTGATCGACGACTGCTTTACCGACACTGGTGATGCGGACCAAGTGTCGACTGATGGAGTGGTCACGTTGATCGCGTACGACCAGAGTATGTGTGCGCCATCGTGGTTTGCACAGGTCAACAGTATTCTGGATGACGAAGGCGATGGTCTACTGAATTGCGCTAGCTGCCAGGTCGATGTCGCTAGTCTCTCGAGCGACCCGACTCGCCTTCTCACGCTACTGCAAGGCTTGATCGATTCCAGCCGGTCCGACCAGGGCGTCATGGCTTTCCTCGCCGGATTCGCCATGGTTGGTCTCGTGTGCGTGTGTGAGATTCAGAATCGGTTCTTTTCTGGTATTGGCGTGGGTTTCGTAGGCCGTTCGATGCCGGTTCCCATGAAGACATACTGCCGCTACACGTGCTTTTGGCTCGTGCTGTACGTGTGCAAGCTGGTGTTTGATTACCAATTCGTGGTCAAATCGCTAGTGGAGACAACACTCCTGGTGTACTCAGCCCAGTCAACGGACTTCCTCAAGTATTCTCACTTCATGCTGCAGTTCAAGTACCACAACATCATTTTCATCATCTTTCTCTGGATTCCGGCGTGGATGGTATTCATGTACGACGCGCAGATTTTCTACTCAGTTCTGTCTGTTATTTACGGCTCATTCGCCGGGTTCAACTTGCGTATTGGCGAGCTCCGTTCATTCCGCATTCTACGTTTGACGTTCAAGTCCATCCCTGGCGTGTTCAACCACAAGATGGTACCGAACATTGTTGAGGAGAAGGCGAAGAAGCTAAAGAAGAAGAAGAAGAACCGTAACGAGAGGGACGAGATGGCCATGCCTCTCCGCCGCTTCGAACGCATTTCGATGTCTCAGGGTGCTAAGCCGTTGACAGTGAAGACGCAAAAGTACTCGAGTTTGTTGGAGCAGCGTGATGACGATGATGTCTATAGCGAGATGAAGACCCCGAACGGCACTGACGAAGACTTGTCATCGCAGTCGAGCCGCACTTCGAACATTGGCTCCATCACGGGTGTGTCGGGAGCGGAGTTCGAGCGTACTATTCCGTTTGCGATGGCGTGGAATCGCTGTCTGACCAGTTTACGGGAAGCTGACGTTATCAGTGACCGCGAGCTAAACGTGCTAAGCTATCTGATCGATTCCAAGGACACGGTCGGCCGAAAGCTGTATCCGCCTGCCTTCTTGACTGCCGGAAAGCTGGATGAGTCGATTGACATTGTGCTCGAGTGCTCGGCGTTGTACGAGAAGCTGAAAACCGACAAAAAGAAGAAAGACAAGGTGCTACAGAAAATTGAGACGACCATGCGGGAAAGACTGACAAAGGATGACCTGCGTGTCGAATCGATTTTGGGCTCCTACAAGTTCTCTTCTCAGGTTCTTCGCATCTTGCTCGGTGAGGAACACAAGGAGCTAGACGACTGCTACAACTTTATCGAGGAGATGGCTTCACATCAGCAGATCTTGAAGGGTCTGAAACTGGACAACCTGTACATGTGCCGTGCAACTGCTGCTGAACTCATGAAGTCCATCCTTGAGGTGCCGAAGAAGTCTACAGAAAGCAGCATCAAGTTCCAGCGTGCGTTGTACAAGGTGATTGACTCGGTAGAGTCGGTGATTAACTGCCTGAAGATGGTGCTGGCCAAACAGGAGAATCTGGTGCAGATGCTGAACGACACACCTCTGAAGCCGAACTCGTTCTTTTTCCCCGGTGATTCGCAGCACTACGCAAGCTTACAGTTGCAGAAGATCGTAAATGATGAGGCTGCTCTGGACATTGTATCACGTGCATATCAGCTATTGACGGTCGACAACTTTGACGCTGAGCCGCGCTCTGAAGAAGGGCGCCGTCGCTTGCGCTTTTTCGCCAACTCGTTGTTCATGGATATGCCGGAGGCAAAGCCTATTCGCAAGATCCGTTCGCTGACTGTGTCGACGCCGTACTACAACGAGATCGTCATGTACTCGATCAAGGATTTGACGGCCCAGAATGACGACTGCATTAAGTTGTTGTATTACCTGCAAACCATCTATCCGTTCGAGTGGGAGAACTTGTTGGAACGCATCCAGGCGAAAGACATGAATGAGGCACTGAAGAAAAACCCGGAGGAGGTTCAGTTATGGGCCAGCTATCGAGGTCAGACCCTGGCCCGTACTGCTCGAGGTATGATGTACAACGAGGAAGCCATTCGCTTTCTGCACTGGCTGGAAATTGGCGAGAACGAGCCGATGCATCAAGTATTTTGCTCGTGCAACAAGTGTCGCAAACTGAATGAGATGGTTCGCTTGAAGTTTAACTACGTGTGCACGTGCCAGATTTACGGAAAGCAGAAGGATGAGCAAAAGCAGCAGGCTCAAGACATCGACTTCCTGCTCCGCAAGCACCCCAACCTTCGTGTTGCATACGTTGACGGCCCGAAGAAGGTGAAGGACGGCCCGCCGAAGTTTTTCTCGGTGCTGATTCGTGCCCTCGATGACAAAATCGTCGAAATCTACCGCGTGGAGTTGCCAGGCAATCCGATTGTTGGCGAGGGTAAGCCTGAAAACCAGAATCACGCCATCATCTTCTCGCGCGGCGAGCTTTTGCAGTGCATCGACATGAACCAAGATGGCTACTTCGAAGAAGCACTGAAGATGCCAAACCTGTTGTCAACGATGGACACTGGCACTGAGAAACGTCCGTTGACGATCATCGGTTTCCGTGAGCACGTCTTTACCGGTGGCGTGTCGAACCTTGCCAGTTTTATGTCGATCCAGGAGCTGTCGTTTGTGTCGCTCGGTCAGCGCATGCTTGCTCTCTTTCATGTGCGCCAGCATTACGGCCACCCGGACATCTTCGACAAGCTGTTTGCAATGAGCAGTGGCGGCACTGCGAAGGCGTCCAAGGGTATCAATCTCTCGGAAGACATTTTTGCCGGTTTCAACAGTACGCTCCGTGGTGGTCGTACATCCCACGAGGAGTTTATCCAAGTGGGCAAGGGTCGTGACGTGGGCATGCAGCAGCTAGCTCTTTTCGAGGCCAAGTTGTCATCAGGTGCTGGTGAAGCTGTGATTTCCCGCGATGCGATGCGCATGGCTTCTCGTCTTGATTTCTTTCGTCTACACTCTTGGTTCTACGGTAACTTGGGCTGGTACTTTACGCAGTCCATGACTGTAGTGGGTGTGTACTTTTTCATCTACGGCAAGGTGTACATGGCGCTGAGTGGCATGGACAGTTACTTTCTCGAGCGGGGTGGATTGGGAATCGCTGGCACGTTGAACACGTCATGGGCGTTCCAGTTCGGCTTTTTGTTGGTGGTTCCTGTAATCGCAGTGGTGGGTGTGGAGCAGGGTTTCCGCCACGGTTTTACGTACCTTCTGTGGAACTGCATGACGCTCGGCCCCATCTTCTTCACGTTCCAGATGGGCACGCGTATGCACTACTTTGACCGCACGTTGATTCACGGTGGCGCAAAGTATCGTGCCACAGGTCGTGGTTTCACGATCAAGCATGAGAAATTTGCTGAGCTGTATCGCTTTTACGCGTTCAGCCACTTCTACCGTGGCGTAGAGCTGCTGTTCTTGTTGTTGTTGTTTTACGTCTACGGCACGTTCTCGTGGTGCAACTGCTCATGGCGACTGGACGCCGACTTTTACAACAACGTTGAGCCGTCCAATCTTGACTGGCGGGCGCGTTGTTACGACAATCACTATCAGTCGTGTGTTCTACCAACGAACCAGAACTACGGTGTCATGTCGTATTCTTTGTGGATCATTGCCGCGACGTGGATGTGGGCCCCATTCTTTTTCAATCCAAGTGGTCTGGACTGGGACAAAATCATTGAGGACTACAACGACTGGCAAAATTGGCTTAGGACGAGCAACGACTCGGCAGACAGCTGGTTTGGCTGGTGGTCCAATGAACAGGAGTACCTCGAGCACACGACATCCGGCGCTCGCTTCATCACTGGCATGCGCAAGCTCCGTTTCTTGTTGGTTGCTATCGGCATGTACCTGAACATGATGTACGATGCGTATTTCGAGCAGCCAAACCGAGTGATTGAGTCGGGCGACAGTATGTTGACGTACGCATTGTCCGGTTTGGTCATCGTGATATTCGCGCTGCTGATATGCTGCGGTTACATTGCTAGTCGCGTGACGAAGAAGATGTCGATGAAGCAGCGCAAACTACGCAAGATCAAATTCCTGCTGTCGTGCTGCTGCTTTCTCATATCGTTGCTGAGTCTGACAGTGCTGTCGGTTGGCAACTTGTTTGCAATCTTTATTCTGCTGATGATGGCGGTCTATTGGTTCATGCAGATGTGCATCTTGCGTCTGCAGTACCACCACATTGTGGTGCGTGCGCTCGCCCGCGCCTTCGACCATGCCGTGGGCTGGATTGTGTTTGGGCCCATTATGATCGTGTCGATGTTCCTGCCCTTCATCTCTTCGTTCCAGCAGCGCGTCATGTTCAACAATGCCTTCACGTCGGGTCTCGAGGTGTCGAAGCTTTTTGCACACGACGTGGCTCCAGCAACGGTGGTCAAGGTCAAGCGTGTGTCGAAGAAGAAGAAAACTCGGGACGACTAACTAGCTCAGACATCTGCTCGGTGTCTTTTCGATGAGTCGGCAGGTCGGTCGGCAGGTCCGGCTATTTGTATTTTCATAGAAACCCAAAGCAACTATCGTTCTCTGTTTGCGACCTGCTTCTTCCACGTTGTAAGTATGAGCGGGGGGTCTGAGTCAATCGAAAAAAACAACAACTGGTCTTCAACTACCACAATTTCTTTGCAACGAGCTGAGTTGGAGCAGAGCGTAAGCTATTTACGGACCCCTTTCGGATGGGTGGGGACGGCCAAGCTGCAGGATATGGATAGACCGGGAGGTTGTGAGGTGTAGTAACCCTAGTGTTGCCATGCACTTGTTGTGTGGTGAAGCTGCTGGTGGGGCAGCTTGCATCTTGACGAGGAGGATGAGACAGACAATAAGAGAGACGTGGGCAGATCCTGCCTGCACAACTGCAGCAAGAACGTGCTTCTGTCGATAAACTAATGTGGGAAAACGAGTTGGTGGCTTGCTCTTGCGCTGGGCGACGGGGTCGCCGTCAACTTTTGTTTTGTTCTTTCACATACTGTAAATGACAAAAGCGATATGCACGTCTTCCAGACACGAGCACAGACGTCCACTTACCCACCCGAAGACACACATAGAAAGTAGCTACCAAGATAGTCGTCATTTACCTTACGCACACTCACTCATCGAATCGATCTCGGGCTTGCAATAAACCTGTCATGATTGCAAGGCGTACCACACAACTGTTACTGAAGCTATTGAGCCCAATGGCTCAGCCCCGAACGGCGAACGAAGTCGCATAGAGCCCTGTCATGTTGGATGAGCGAAAACGATAATGTGACGCACGCCCACGAGCTCAGCTGCTGCCACGCTGCTGTGCGCAGTTTGACGAACAGCACGAACTTGCCTGGCGGGTTCGCCGACACGCTAACCGGCCAAGCACAAACAAGTGCTGCTGTTTACACGAAAGTGGGTACCATTAATGAGCTTAAAATTAAGAGATGGCGAGGGTGCAGCTATCCCTGCATTCGGGTGAGGTCAGGAGTTGAAACAACATGACGCATGCCGACGAGGTCGGCGGCCGAACGATTACTCACACCACTGTGGGGACCTCCAGCATTCCTTTGACCGAAGGGCGTGAAGCTGCTCGGTGTGCTCACAGGTGCTCGGACATTGCGGGTACGAGGTAAAGGGCTGACCTTCAGTTTGCACAGGATTTCCGAAAACTTCTGTGTATCCGGCTGGAAACGCTTCAGATCGAGATTCCGACGCGACTCTCGAGGAACTTTGTCCTTCTGGGGACCGGGCAGTTCACTTTCGTCCTTGCATGTGAGATCGATGGAAGACTGTGACCGCAAGATGGGCATTGTCAACTCTAACGATAGTGGTGATGTATCGCTGCTTTGATCACCGTCATCTCCAGACTTCCCCAGCACCGACTCAACGTTATCTTCAATCGAGGACACGGTGCTACTCCGGCGGCGCACTCCGCTTTCGTCTTCTTCTGGCAAATGCGAGCTGCGATTGCTGGAGTCGCTTTTCGGACCAGACCCCACCACAGCAGACGCGCCGCTTAGGCCGACACCACCCAAACCAGCCGTGATTTCTCTTATGCGCATCACGTCAAGCTCTTCGGCATCAACTTCGTTGTCGATCTCGATAGCCATAGCGCTTTCCGTGTTTCCTCGATACGTTTGAGTCGCTAGGCTCTGAATAGCATCTTCCATCGCGTGCAACCACTGCTCTTGCCGCCCCCACGTGTCAATAAGCACAATAAAGCTTTTGTAACCCTTTGAAGAAAACTGTAGGCCATGCGCGCCACTCCCCGGACCCTCAGTCACACCAAAGCTATACCACTTGCGGACCGACGTCGGGATGACCCACTTCATGCGCTTCGCCCAATTGGCGCTTTGAAGCGTGTCACAATACCAGAGCTTGTCACATACTTGGCACAGTCCAAAAAACGTTATGGTAAACGTGAGTGCGTGGAACGGCATTGGCACTGGGAACTGGATGAACGAGCTCACACGCGTAGGCTCTGGAATCGGTATATGGTCGTGGACTTTGTCCTTCTTGTACATGAAGCCTGTGATGAACTCGTCCGTATACGTGACCTTACAGTAGTGGCTCGCAGCACCCGAGAAAATGTTCTCCAGGTGGCCACTATACTCACCCATCTCGGTAATCGTGAGCGTGGCCGACACATACTCGACGGCACTTTGCTTCAGCTTCAAGCACCCGTGGCACAACGGTGCGTTGCGCTCGCCTAGCGGTAGCATCTCGACACGGTTCTGCTCCGCGATAACGTGCTCAAATTTCACCCACTTTTCGTGCTGCGACGTGTACTGCCGTACGATGTCTTGACACGTAATTGCGACTGATCCACTCCTGGAATTCGGGGTACTGACATAACAAAACGAAACGTGTTAGAACGTCTAAGCTGACACGTCGCACGACATCTACGTACTTTGTCAACGTGAAAACGCTGTTCGCGATCGTCGTCATGTGACCCTTGTACTGCACGTGCTTTTTGTACGCCTGAATGACGAAATCCAAGATATTCGCGCCTTCGATGAAGAGACTGTTCAGCAATGGAGATGACGGCAAGCGCTTCTGGTCGGGATCCATCAAAACGAATCTGATGACGTCTGTGAGTTCGTGATGCAACATGCTGTTGCTCGGGTGCGACCCGTAGCAGGCTAGTAAGCACGGCATCAAGCCAGAATTTGCCAACTGGTAGTCCACATCTCCACTTTGCAAAAATACGCATCGCTTGAGAAACGTGATGATGTGCAAAAGCGCAGATCCTTTGGCGCTCACAGCTTTGACACTGCCGGGGTTGGAGGAAGCCAATAGTGCGTGGAGCGCGTCGGCATTCGACGTGACCACTGCCCGGCACAATATCACAAACTTCTCCACTCGAGGAATAAGTGCCGATAACAACGACACGTAGACAGTCTTTAACAGGCCTTCGATACCCGTAACATCACGTTTTTTCTTGTGGTACCCCAGCGTACTCATCAGCATCATAACAATGGACAATGCACCACCTTCACAAACGACGAGCGACGTGCATCCCTCTGTACTCTGGCGACAAACCTCCGCGAATCCTAGATCGAGCAATGTGCCAAACGAGACATCGGTCGTGTTGAGTAGAAATACCAACAGCGACTTAAACAGCTCGTTGTGATGGAGGGGAAACTGCTGGTCCGTTATCAGCGGCAATGAGTGATCTGCGTTTTCCACGAAAGTCGCCACGTTGTTCATGATGTACACCGAAGGTGGATAGATGATGTAGTTTATCAGTGAGCAAATGTTCTCGACCGAGTCTCGCTGGAACGAGGTCCCCACACCCCAGCCCAACGTTCGCTGCCACGAGTACAAGCGAGCGAATAAACAACCGAATATACCGCTCTTCTGCACGCTGCGCTGTCCTTCTTCCGACATGTCTGAATACAGTAACCACACAAGGGTATCGCAAATCGAATCGAGGCCGATATGACAAACTAGCCAGGGCACAACAAATCGCCCTTCGTTAGCTAGGAACCGCCAGATTAGCCCTCCAAGGCTCTGATTCACGATCAAGTGGTTGACTACTTTACAAAAGAGAACCAGCAGTACTTCATCCAAGGGATCTGCAGTACAAAGAAAGTTGAATAGCACTTTCATGTACCCAGATGCAGTTTTGACGTCATAGTCATCAGCAGAGTTCAAAGCCCATCCACCGCCAACGAGCGTGTAACCTTTCTGGAATATATGTGGCGGGTACCACAGTGCAACTTCGCTGCAAAAATGCTGCACGGTATACTTGCCGTAGTTCGGGTCATCTGCGCAGTCCGACTCGGAAGATGATGCTGGAACCGTCAATAAGCGAAACACCTCATAAATAATTCGCGGCTGCTCCAGCCAACTACTTGACTTGTGCTCTCGCAGCATCTCTCGATACAAAACATCGACCGACATTTCACTGCTTTTCGCAATCCTCAACAAATCTTGCAAAGTCGAGTCCTGCATGGCGACGGTTTCTTCAATCTTGCGACGATGGTCCCGGACGGATTCCTACACAGAATCGATGGATGTTACAAACAAAGTGGCCGAACAGTGACTACAAAAGTGCTGTACTCACACTTTCAGCTTGTTCACGCAAGTAATTTTCAATATCAGTGTGCCCTGCTATCATCGCTATATGCTCTGCAGTGTTCCCGTCTCTCTGCACATCACCAATAATTGCTACCATAAGTTCAGGGCGCAAAAAACGTTCAACGAGCCATGTGCTTACATCCTTTGCAGTCAGACTGGCACCAGCCTTGACAAGTACTTTTACACAGCCAAGATTCCCGGCACGTGCAGCTTCCATCAGAGCGGTGGTCGAGTTTGGCTGCTCAGAACAAAGGTCAATCACCGGCGGTCGTAGAGCTACTGAGTATGAAGTACTAGAGTCAAGCAAAAGAAATACGCACGCTTGGGGTCTCGAGCTCTGCGCCCTTTTCGAGCAGAGCTGAACAGCACTCTTCCAGGCCACCTCGGGCAGCAATATGAAGTGCAGTAGTTCCGCGACTCTAAGATGGAAACGTTTCACACAATCATACTACTTTTAGTGGCCAGCCACTTTTGTACAACGTATCAACGCTGCAACGCACCCGGTTTCTTGACAAATTCACTCTTGCTCCTTTCTTGACAAGCATTCTCACGCATTTCGCACGGCCGTCTCGGGTGGCGACCATCAAAGCGGTCATGCCGTGTACCTGACGTATTCATCATTAGTCCTACACTTGTTGCGACGGAACAGAAAAAAACTCACATCTTCCAAGTCGAGGCTGGCGCCGAACATCAGTAGAGCTCGCGCCGCTTCTACATTGCCGACTGAACATGCCATCATCAGTGGCGACACACCCGTAGGCTATAATGATCGTGCAAGCACAATGACATTCAGAATCAGTAAAAAGAATCCGCCGTGTATGACTGCTCATGTCAGCCCAAAGACCACCTTTTGTTCGTCCAGCGACACGCCTAGACTGTGTAGGATTTCGATGCAGTCCACATGCCCATTTTCGGCAGCATCACACAACGTCATTGCTTTTGGAAAATTCTGCAAGTTGAACCATGCAGTCCCGCAATCAGCATGGCCAAGCGATATATGAGTGCTCACCATGCAACATACGAACATCCTATGCGACTCACATCCACGACACTTCCTGACGCATCAAGCTTCAACAAGTGTCTCAGCAGCTCGACGTCTCCAGCACGCGCTGCAGTCTGGATCCCGAAGTACACATCGTCCGGCACAACATGTTTACAGGCCTGTTCTCTCCAGAGCAATTCGATCGAGATCCGTGATGGTCGGTCAACTAGTAGTTGGTCGGCATGGTACTTGGATAGCAGCACAATTGGAATGGACACTGACTGACGTCCAGACGAATGAAAGCCGTCAAAAAGCGACTGGGTCGCGCGTTTGTTGTCTGCTGTTGTCTCAATAAAGACAATGCCAATGACCCCGAGATCCAACAGACGGCGAACAATGTCTGGAAAATGAACGCGACCGCCTCGTTCGACGATGGCAATGTTTCCCGTTAGATCCGTCTTGTTTTTAATCTCTCCGTCTGCCTTGAGAGGGTCCGTATACACCGCCGTTCCCACGACTGTACGGGACACGCGGTCGTATCGGTAACTACACGGCTCTGCAAAGTGGTAGCCCACCACTGCACTTGTAGGGCTGTTCTGTACGTGCACATTGGCGTCAATATTGCCAGCAGCTGCCACGGACTGTTGCTTGGGACTGCGCTGCCAACACACGAACGGTATCCCATCACTCCGCGAGCCATTGGCCGTCGACTGTTCATTGCCCATTGGTTACAGACGCTACTGCAGTCAATCCTAGCAGGTATCAGCGTGAAGGAAGCAAAGAGACGCGAGCAAACGTCGACTCGAGACACTGAGCGCGGACGGATATCTTGGGATCTTGTGGATCGGCACGAGACCAGTGCAGTCGCTCGCTGTGTCGGACAAAAGCGAAGGAGGAGGCGATGGAGAAGGTGGCAGAATGGCGGAGCAAAGGCGAACGCTGCGGACGTGGCGCCGTGTGGCTCGGATAGCCGTTACCCTGACGCGACGACGGGAGCGCTCCTTTGGTTTGGTGTTTGCCAAATGTTAGTTTGGGCGTTTTGGTCGGTAAGTGTGTTTCTTGTTTTAGGGATAGTGGTCAGGTGACACGTTACTGTATGTTTGTATGGAAAAAGAGGACGCGCAGCCCCATGTCGAGGGGTACGCTGGAGATATGGGCACCTGTGGTCCCTTAATGGCCTGTCTATGTCCATTGACGCTGCGCTGTATGAGCCCACCGCTATTGTCCCATGTGTCAAAAATAAATAAGCCGGCGTTTCATGTACTTGACGGTAAAAAACTACCACAAGGCATACAAAACAGGGAAAAAGACAGACAACAACAGCAAGTGGCGGTCAAATGAACGCGAACGCGTTTTGCGGCCGGTCGCTTTCTGTCCTCTCTGTGTCTTTTTCCCGCTGAACTTCGTTTTCACTGTGCAATTGTAGCAAGAAAACTGATAACGACCGCGTCCTTGAAGTTGCGTGCGAGAACATGTCAAGCGCGACACGAGTGCAGCAGCAGCTGACCACGCGCTGGTCGACGCTGCGCTACCGCATGGAGTACAACGGGTACCTGTCCAACCATCTGCTGCACGGCGTCGTGGCACTGTTTGATCTGGGCGGGAGCGAGGAGAAGATCGACGCGTTCACACGAAGTTACGCGACCAAGTTGGAAACGACCGCTGGACCCAACGACGGTGCTGGAAGTCCGTCGGACGCCTGCAGTCCACTCGCACACGATCGCAAGTTGACGTGGGCACACGCCCGTGAATTGCTCGGCAAACGCCAGAGCTTTGACGGACTTCTGTCGCTCTACGCGGCTGACGTCCACGAGTCGGGGATCGATGGAGCTGTGAAGAAACACCTGCCAAATCTTGTGGGTGGACTCGCTGGAGCGCTGTTGCACTCGATTATCCAGCTGGGATACGCCTATCACATTGGCGGAGATCGTCTAGTGGCTGAAGGACTCACGTACATGCACTTTGCCTACCTGTCGTTTGATGAGCCCCTGCACGTAAATGGGGAGGAACGACCGGCGACGAAAACGCTGTCACGTGGTGAAGCAGTGCATCTCGTCCAAGTACTGAATGGAAATGAAATGCTGCTGGGTGAGATGCGCCGCAAGCTTCAGACGAAACCGCTCGTTGATCTCGAAACGAGCGGCCTGCAGAAGCGGTTGAGCACCATGTCCGGTGATCCAGAGCGTGGAAGCGCTGCCGCGTTTCGCATGATTTGGGAGACGATCAACAGCTACGACCTATCGAACATGGGTGGTGTGCTTGCGCTGGACTTGGCCTTCTGGTTGTACGCGATGGTCGAGCACAATGATTTCGTCATCTTGCACGCGGTGACATCGGCGAGGGCCCTTCAGCAGGTGGAGCACCTACTGGACCCGAAAGATCGTCAGCGCGCATGGAAAGTGTGGCTCCACGTGGCGTTATCGGCGTTTGTCACGAATGACAGTAAAGATGTGCGATCATCGGACGTGTGTGAGCAGCAGCTGTCCGAGCCAGCGCCGTGGCAACACATTGTCGCCAAGACGTTGGCGCTAGCAGACGAAGGGCTGCTGGAACGCGATTTGGTGCATGTGTACAAGCTCGTGCAAGTCGCGCGTAGCCACGCTCAGCGCATGGAGAGTGCGTTCTTGACGAACGAAGAGCGGGACTGGATTGCTCGCAAAAGCGCCTTGAAGGTCATAACGTGCGAGTTTGGTCCACTATAGCTGCACTTGGGCATTCGATGCAGTCTGTGGAGATGCTTGGATCGTTTGCTGCCGTTTTTTGTCGCAGCAGTGCAAAAGGCACGTTATTCCACGCTGTGTACGGTGGCAAAAAAGTGAACGTAGCGGGCGACGACGTACATGTTGTAGCCGAAGCTTTAATACAATTGCACCGCACACACTATTCACGGCCCTTTTGCGCCTACACGAAACACTGACAGAAGGAGCGACATTCGGTCGACCGTCGCACCGCACCGTATGGTCTTGCTCGTCTGCGATTGGGTATCGAAAGTCGACGTGAATGGGCTAAAAACAAGCATCATGGCCAATCTTATTCGCTTATTCTAGCCAATGAAGAGACCTTCTAGAGCTCGCATCGTCGAAAACAGACACTCAAAAAGTCAGACAGTCACACGAAACTGAAGAGCTCAACGTGGCAGCGAGTGACGGACCGACAATCGATCGCCACCGCTTCCACACACGAACACGTAATACGACAGCCAGTGCACCTCAACTATCGATGCGTCTCCTTCGACTGGGATCGCTTTCTGCTGCTGTCGCTATTGCAATGGCGACGCAATCTTCCGCTGCTGTCCCTATCGTCGACAATGCCTCGACACCCTTTCGAAAAGACATGGTCGGTTTCCTCCAATGTCGAGTATGCGAGACGCCCGAGCTCACTGGAAGTGTACAGGACTCAGCGTGCGACTACGAGACAGTGGACAAGGCAGTGAACGAGCATTTCCACCCGCTGCTGGAAGAGTTGTCGCGCCTCACGTTTTTTCGCTACTTTAAGGTCGATCTTGGCAAAGAGTGTCCTCATTTACCGTGGCAAGATGACGGCATGTGCGCGAGCATCGACTGTGCTGTGTGCGAGTGTCCGTCACACGAGATCCCAGTGCCGTGGAGTCAATTGGACTTGCAAGAGATTCAGTCGCGTCGCAGCAATCAAGTCCTAGGCGAAGCTGGCAAACCCTGTGACGAGCAGACGGGTGAAAGCACGCTGTCGAAGGTCGAGCGCAAGAATGCCATTGCTGGTGAGAGCTTCAAGGAGTGGGAGGAGGCGTCGAGTGCCAATGTATGGGCTGCTCAGGGCGAGGAAGAGGAAGCGATGACGTACATTAATTTGCTGGAAAACCCCGAGCGATATACGGGTTACAGTGGCGTACAGGCTGAACGGATCTGGAAGGCAATTTACGAAGAGAACTGCTTTGTGCCACGGAACGAGAGTGCGATGGACAGCATGTGTTTAGAGGAGCGGGTGTACTACCGCCTCATCAGTGGGTTGCAGGCTTCTATCAACACACACATTGCACTGACGTACAAGTTTGGCAACAAGTGGGGCAGTAATCCGTCGTTGTTCGTTCACCGAGTCGGCAAGCACCGCGATCGGCTTCAGAACCTTTACTTCGCCTACCTGTTCGTCATGCGAGCGATCGGCAAGTACCACCATAGATTGTTGGCGTTCGACTACAACACGGGCAACGCTGCCGATGATCTCCGCGTAAAGGAGATTCTCCGCCAGCTCTTGCTTGAGCGATCAGATGCTCGGACGTCGGGTACTTCCTGCCCAGTACATGCCGAATGCATGTCCGTGCTGTCCGGCTTCGATGAGAGCACGTTCTTTCGTGTCCAGGCCGACGGACTCTCACCGGACGAGCTGGCACTTGCGAAGCGAGAGAAGGAGCAGCTCGAAGTACAGTTTCGTGAGAAATTCCAGAACGTGAGTCGCATCATGGACTGCGTATCGTGCGAGAAGTGTCGACTGTGGGGCAAGTTGCACACCATGGGATTGGGCACTGCCATCAAAATTTTGCTCGCAGAGGACGTCTCGACGATCCCGGACTTGCATCGCAATGAGCTCATCGCGCTCATCAATGTGGCCAACAACCTCTCCCGTAGCGTAGACGGCGTGAAAATGATGCGGGAGCTCGAGTTTGCCGAGGCCATGAAGCAGTTTGGCTTTGTCTGCGTTGCCGCCACTCTCCTCGTGCTAGCCCTCATCGCCGTCTTTCGCAGGAGACATAGACTGCGTGTGCACAAGAAGCGCGAGTGAGAGTGTTAAGAGCCTGCAAGTGTCGCAAGTGCACAATCGACACCCGTTCACGTGTCAATCGTCGTCTCACATTGTCGCTTTTGTCAACACGGCGCGCTCTAACCTGCTCGTTCCTGCACGCTCTCTGCCCATGCGCATCACACAGCACTGCCGTCAGTTGCCCGTCCAAGCTCTTCTACCATCTCGCACCTGATCTGCTTTTCTTCACGCAGACGCACTTTGTTGACGTCAAAGTCGCCATTGCAAAAAGCTGCCCCGTGCTTGTCCATCGTTCGGAGGTGCGTCCGAGACGTAAAGTCTGCAACAATCGAGCAACATCGCAGCGACGTTTCGCGAGCCAAAAGTGAGAAAGTCAAGAGCCTTTGGCGCTTTTATTTTGTTAACAGTTTTCTCAGCCACATGTTGTTGCGCCGCGTCGGTACCCGCGTACGAGACGCGCTCGGACCTTCCGCTATGGTAACTTCCTCTGTACTTGCTAACACTGTCTCTCTACCGTCTCTGGTAGTTTGCGAGACACAGGACAAGCTCTTGCCAAGTACCTGCACCGTCTTTTTGCCGCAGCTTTGCGGTATCCGCGTACGTTGTGCCTAATACGTGCGATCGATTGCCTGATCGATGCAACGCTTGTAGCTGAGACAATTCTTGTGCGATGCTGTATCCTGTGCCGTTATCTACTAGCCTTCAGGTGGACAATCCGTACACGGGGGAGATCTTTTGTGAGGTCGCCCATGACTCCAAAGCCGACGCGCACGCCAAGGTCGATGCAGCCGTGAAAGCGCAGCTTGACTGGAAGAATGTACCGCTTTGCGAACGTCAAGATCTGTGCACGAAATGGATGACTGCTCTTGCAAGCAATGCCGAGTCCATTGCACATGAGATCTCTGGCATGATGGGAAAACCGGTGCAGCAGGCGCGCAACGAGGTCAACGGCACCATTGAACGTGCCAAGTACGTCAACAGTTTCAGCACAAGATCGTTGTGATGCTGGCTGACGCGTTTTTTATCGTGCTTTTCCGCAATGCGGCAGAGCGCTTGTCCACTTGTCGGATGAAGCACTGCGCACGGATTCGTTTCCAGAAGAAAACGGACTCTTTCGCCAGATCACACACGATCCTGTCGGCGTCGTTTACGTCATTGTGAGCTCGCTCGGAGCTTGTAGTTGCGCTGTCGGGTAGTATATATTGACGTTTAGCCACCGATTCTGTGTCGACTCAGGCTCCATGGAACTATCCTCTCATGACGGCGGTCAACTCGATCATCCCCGCAGTACTCGCTGGCAACTCGGTGCTGTTGAAACACTCACCTCGCACTCCACTATGCGGAGAGCACTACCAAAAAACATTTGAACAAGCCGGGTTCCCAAGGAACGTGCTGCAGTCGTCGTTTGTGGAGCACGACACGGCTGCAGAAATCATTCGGCGCCCGGATATCGGTTTCGTATCGTTCACGGGATCTGTCCGAGGGTACGCATGCATCTTGTGAGTGAAGAATGCCGCAACCCTGTGTGGTACTATTGACGTGCTTTTTTCACATTCGAATACGAAGAGGTCGCCAAGTCCAGAGTACGATGTCCCAGCGCTCGATCGACATAACGTTGGAGCTTGGAGGAAATGTAAGTACGGCATGTATTGGATCCGCTCGACACGTCGTTCTCTCTTGACTGCTGTGTTTTGTCGTGGCTGTAGGACGCTGGATACGTTACGGCCAATGCGGATGTTGAAGCAGCAGCAGAGGGTCTAGTGGATGGCGTGTGCTACAACGCCGGTCAATCATGCTGCGCAGTGGAGCGGGTTTATGTTCACGAGTCCAAGTACGACCAGTTTTTGGAGAAGGCAAAGAGTTTATTCGAGGCGTACAATCTCGGCGACCCGACCGACGCGAAGACGTCAATGGGTCCGATGGCTCTTGCTGCTGCACCGAAAATGCTAGACGCTCATGTACACGATGCTATGGCAAAAGGTGCGCGTAAAGTATCCGGCAGCGGCATGGTCACGGACGCTTCTGGAAAGGGTCGCTTCTACTCCCCGACTCTGCTTGCTGACTGCAATGGCTCCATGGACATTATGACGGAGGAGTCCTTCGGGCCGATTGTTGGTGTCGAGCGCGTATCATCGGATGCCGAGGCTATCGAAAAAGTCAACAACAGCAAGTACGGCCTGACGGCATCGGTATTCTCGACAGACCGCGACCAAGCCATGGCTCTTGGCTCGCAAATTAGCGCTGGTACTGTGTACATGAACAGATGTGACGTGTTGGACCCTTACCTTCCTTGGACGGGCCATCGCGACTCTGGCAAGGGTGTCAGTCTATCAAAGTACGGATTCCATGGCGTGACAAAGCTAAAAGCGGTACGTTTCTGCGCTCAATGCCGTTCGCATGCCTTGATCTAACGTTGCAGATGTATGTCTTTGGTTGGTAGTGGAATTTCCGTGTTTAGTGGATACGACGACTTGCACGCCGAGAGGTGGATCCATGGTGAACTAGTACGCCGTGCTTGCAAGCAATAGATGGAGACAAGTTCAATACGACACGTAAGCTGAATTGATTGCAGTTGTGCTCGTAAGGAGTGCGATTTTGCCGCACACTAAGACCTCACTCTTTCACACGGTGAAAGCGCATGGACTCATAGCAAACGTCTTGCACAAGAACAAGTCGTTGAGACTGTTAAGCGCACAGGGGACATCGTTGCTAATCAGACGTCTTTTGCTGCTTTACCTTTCTCAACGTTAACACGCGAATCAACGTTTCTGCCACTTACTCACACCTCGCTGGGGCCTCCGAACGGGTCGACGCGTACCTCGCTCGTCACATAGGCTGACGAAATGCCTCCATCAACAACAAAGGACGTTCCAGTAATGTACGACGCATCGTCACTCGCAAGGAACAATGCGGCTTTGGCCATTTCCGCTGCCTCTCCAAATCGACCCATGGGTACGTGCACGAGACGGCGCTTCTTCTTCTCTTCAGTGTCCAGAAACTTCTGCAGCAACTCCGTGTTCAGCGGACCAGGGCAGAGCGCATTCACGCGAATGTTCTCGCGAGCATGGAGTGTCGCCAATTCACGAGACATGGCAATCACCGCACCCTTGCTGGACGTATAGGCAAGCTGAGGCGTAGCTGCCCCAAGGATTCCCACGAAGGAGGCCGTGTTGATAATGGAGCCACCACCTGCGCGACGCAGGGCAGGGATGCCGTACTTGCAGCCAAGGAAAACGCCCTTTACGTTCACGTTCATCGTGAGGTCCCATACCTCCTCTTGGGTGGCGACAGCGTCGTCGTCAGCACTGTGCATGATACCAGCATTGTTGAAGAGCACGTGGAGGGCCCCGAACTCCTTCTCGGCCACGCTCACCATCTTCTCGACGTCTGGAGCATTGGACACGTCGGTCCTGACGGCAACGGCCACTCGGTTGCTCTTGCCCAGTTTCTTGAGCTCCTCGTGGACCAGGTCCACAGTCTCAGCCGCCGCGTCCGCGTTCACGTCAGCGCACACGACGCCCTTTGCGCCCTGTTTGGCAAACAGAATCGCAGCCTTGCGGCCAATGCCGCCAGCAGCTCCAGTGATCACGGCCACTTGACCGGCGAGTCGGTTCCCCAGGACGTTCATATCGAGTGGAGAGGCGTGTGGTCTGCGGGACAAAAGGCACTTGGGGTAGTATGAGACGCTGCAGCTTTTCGCCTTTGTGGATCCGGCGACAGCTCGTTGAAGATCGGTGGGCGGATGCTTTTTTTGTACATCACACAAAAAGAGAAGGGTCGACCCGCGACCTAAGACTCGTATGATTTCTCAGGCCAAAAAGGACAAGAAGACCAAAAGCCGGCCAAAAAGGACAAGAAGACCGAAAGCCTGCCAAAAAGGACCAGGAGACCAAAAGCAGGTCAAAAAAAGGACCAGAAACATTCAGGGAACAATCGTCCGCGGACGCACAGAAATACCGCGGCATCGATTTTCCCTTTTTACGCCTGGACTACTGAATGAGGTCCACATCGTTTCGTCTTGCAGCCCGATAAATACCGCTCTCGACTATGTATACAAACCAACAGCCCCCCAAACGAGTCGCAGCACGTGCCCGCCGTATCTTCTTCGTCCCCATTTGCACCTTCGTGCCACATGAAACGTGAAACTCCACTTCAACGTCCGGTGCCATTTACAAAACGACCAAAAGACGCTCACGTCGATGATGTTCACTCGCTTCTCCCAGCGTTTGTATCGCCGGTCTCCTGCTGCTGCACTCGCAATGAGTTCCACCGCTTCCGCTGCAGCGTCATCATCGTCACCTTTAAAGGTACTCGTCATCGATGGCTACGCCCCCGAAGGCCGCGCCGAGCTCGAAGCTGGTGGCGCCAGCACAGCCGGCAGTCTCTACATCAAATTGCTGAACAAGTCGGCACCTGCAGGCGTAACAATCGCTTCGGACGTGGTGCACCCTTCGGACGATGACTTTCAGACGCCAGAGCTGTCCAAGGTGAGCTACAATAGTGTTCTTGCACGAAGAGGATCGACCTGTAGAACTCGTTTCGCGAGCATAAGAGTGAACTCTCTGGGTAGTATCATGCAGTGGCGTGGACGGGATGCTCGCTGACGATTCACGACGCCAAAGACACGCGTGTTGCCACACAGATTGATCTGGCGAAGATGGTGTTTGCCAAAGGTGAGGAGGCGCGCTGTGATAGCACTTGCGCTGTCGAGGTATACCAATGTGGTTGTCGTGATGCTGTTGTGTCTCAGGTATTCCCCAGTACGGTAGCTGCTGGGCGGCTCAAATTGCAGTAGTGGCTGCAGGAGGCTTTTGCGCCGCAAATCCTCGTGGCCGTGAGATGGGCGTTGCGCGCAAGATTCAGCTGTCTCCGACAGGCCGTGCACACCCGATGTTTGAGGGCAAGCCATCGGTTTTTGACGCCTTTACGAGCCACTATGACGAGGTGACCCGCATGCCGCCTGGAGGGCTCGCGCTTGGCGGAAATGAGTTTACGACAGTGCAGGCTGTTGCCGTGCGTCACAAGAAGGGCGACTTCTGGGCTGTGCAGTATCACCCTGAGTACGATTTGCACGAACTTGCGCGACTCACCTATTGCCGCCGAGCCAAGCTCGTGAATCTGGGATTCTTCCCAGACACGAAGAGCGCTGACCGGTACGTGGATGACCTAGAAACTCTACATCTCGATCCGTCCCGACATGATATTGCGTGGCGTCTTGGACTGGATGCTGACGTCATGAGCGAAACCACTCGCCATTGTGAGACGCGCAATTTCATCAAACATCTCGCACTTCCATACAAAGCGGCTGTTGGGGCCAAGTAAGCTGCTAGGTGGATGAGCGGGTCACCGTGCCGCGGAAGCTCGAGGAAACGCAATAGATGGTGGTTCTGTTGTCACAACGGACATTGTGCGTGTGCCAGTGCTCGTGCAGATTACGCTTCTTTAACAGCAAGGCACTAGTCGAGGTACAATGCTCTTATAGCCGAACGATATAGATTCGCAGTGTACTATGTGCGCACGGAAGTGAGGCCAATATAATGGTCCTCTACTTTGACTTTTGATGTGTTTATGCAAGATAGGGACGTAGTAAAGGAGAGGTAAAATGGATAGGCGATAAACAACCACGACCTCGATGAGATGCGACATCAAGTCCCAGTGGCCGCAGAAATCGCATTTCTCATTCTTGCTCAAAGAAGCAGCTACGGGTGACGACAAACACGGCTCAGCTTCCAAATGGCTTGGCGGGGCAGTACAATTTGTATTGACGTCAAGGCTGACGTGCCTGACTAGTGATAGCTACCGCTATAGAGGTAGTAGACTCGGAGAAGCCAAGGCTAGGCATCGATCAGGTCTCGAATGCCGAAAACCTACACAGTGAGACCAGGATGCAGCATAAATAGGTATGCACATGTTTGTCGTTGCTGAGATCGTGCAAAAGGGCAGTCGTTCCATGACAATGAAATTGTCAATGAAAACGTTATCTGAGCGGTAACATTCAAAAACAGCCTGTAACGGGGTTACACGTCGGTGGTAGCCGACATGACATGTGTGATTTTACACCAGGGATGAGATCCTATTAAAATGATATTCGAACACCGTAACACTTGTTGGGGGCTGACGTGTGTCAGCCACCAAATAAGAGATCTTTTAAAAGGTACTAATTCGAGCATTAGTGTCTAGGTCAAGTATGTTTAACGCGGCACACCTTTGCGTAACTTAACGCAAGGGCATTTGGGTGCCCCTTTTGACGGACAGAGACACGTGCCTTCTTCAGGCGTCCCAGATCGTAAATGAGTCAAGTCTTCTTAAGGCACAGACTCGTTAGCACACTGTGCAGTCGATTCGATGAATCGTAAAGGTCCTTTGAACAAGGACCTGGAGCTGTAAGCTCGTTGACCAGTAGATTCGAGTTCTAGTAAAGAACTACCTTGCTCGCTGAGCACACAAAGCCTTCATCTGGATAGAAGCTATACCATTTCAGCTACATAGCCCGTAATGTTCCCTTTGAAAGAGATGTTGCTAACGGGTGAAAGCGTTCTGCATATGGGCTGACATCGACCATAATGGCAATATTATTAGACATTGTTTGTGTAACGGGGCAGCCCGTTACATGGAATTGTCACTTTAAGGAAAGTGACAATAAAGAATATGAAGTTGAATATTCTTTGAACAATATCACCGAAGTGGTGATATTGAAGGGTCGACCAAAGAGTCTGTTCATTGGTTGATATCTTGATGATATCAACCCACCAATCGCCGCAAGACGCGCGCAATGAGTGGTGACGAGACGTCACCATACACTCAGTTATATTAGCATAATTAAGTTAAGTCAAACAAAGAGACAGTAGTTCGAAGACCTAATTGTATTAATATAACAGTTCTGCTTTTACCTTACCTACGCTTCCTCGCTTGCCTTGTGTACGTCTGTCGGGGCACCGATACCCTTGCGTTAAGTTCACGCAAGGGTGTGCCGCGTTACACCTGGTAGCACTTTGTAGTCCTTCCAAGGACCACAACATCCAACATGAACATGTTGGATGAAGAAGAGACCTTTCACGCCACGCGTGAAGGGTTTACCCATTTGAGCGACATCGAATGGAGTGCGGTAGAACGAATGAGTTCTACCGTAGGCGAGTTCGCCATTAGCGCCATGTTGGAGTCTCTAGACAGAGACCAACAACATGCCGCTATAGCCAAGTTCATCCAAAGTGAACTTGTCGCCGAAAGGGAGAAAGTAGCCTTGCTTCACCAGCAAGGCTCTCAACAGGCCGAGCAGTTGAGAGAACTCGGTGCTCAACAGACAGAGCTGTTGAGACAGCAGCAATTCCATGCTGCTGTGGGCGGAACGGCGCATGCGCGTCGTCCCGAGGTCATGAAGGTTGACATCTCCAAGTACAGTGGAGTCCCGGAGGACTCCCTGTTACTATGGTTTGTCGAACTCGACAGAGCCTTAAGGGCTCGTCGCGTCGAAGATGAGCAAATGAAACTCACATTTGCTCAGACCCACTTGGCAGGGCGTGCCAAAACTTGGTCCCTGGGACTCGAGAGTAGCGACCCAAATGTGTTTAGGTCGCTAGATTACTTCAAGTCCCGGCTCAGACAAACGTTTGAGCCTCCACGAGCTGAGTTCAGGGCTCGTTCAGAGCTCCTCGAACTCAAGCAGGGTAAGCGTGATGTGCACGCTTACGCACAACATATACGACTCCTAGCGAGTAGTATAACTTCTAACCCAGTTCATGAACACAAGCTGATTACGGTGTTCATGCAAGGGCTCGTAGAAGGGCCCGTCAGGAGCCACCTGTTCCGCCTTGAGATGAATACGCTTGAAGAAGCGATATGAGCCGCGGAACAGGAAGACTTTAGCATGAGAGAGGCTCATGCTAGCTCAAACTCTTACCGTCCACCAAGACGACAAGAGATCGGAGGTCCAGAACCAATGAACCTCTGCTATGTTGAGAGCGAGAGACCTCGATCTTTAAACAACAAGCGATTTCAGAGGTGCATCGCTGTCAGAAGTTAGGACATTACGCATACGAGTGTAGTGCTCCACGCCCAGTACCAAACAGTACTGAGCGAAATGGACGACCATTTGCCAGAAAGGGCAATGGGCGTGGGTCCAGCGCTGTTGCGAAGCCGCAACAGCGAGACGGACCATCAAAAAATGGTCGGGGTCAGTAGGGGCGGAGCGCCTTACTGATCCAGCAATCTCAAGAGAATTTGCAAATCTCTTGACGAAAGTTGCTCCAGATACACAATTATTGTGTGTCTCTGCACCTGGTGATGACGTTTCGCTTATCACCTTGAAGTTGGAAGCGACAAATGATTTGTCGCTTCGTGCTCTAGTATACTGCGGGGCGTCGAACAACTTTGTTCGTCGCCAGTCACTAGAGGGTCGTAGGCTCAAGTTCGTTGAGCGCGACATTCCCCTCACGAGGATGACGGTGCGCCTTGCAACAGGCGCATCGATTAACGTTAAGAAACGAGTAGTCGGAATCCACTACACGTTAGAAGGCGAACAGTACGATGATGACTTCATCGTACTAGATCTGGATGACAAATTTGATGTCATCCTGGGATTATCTTGGCTCAGAAAGTACGAGCCAAGGGTGATCTGGCAGCATCGATCCGTGAAGATGCCTGCCACTTGTTCATCAGATGGCCATCTGATGAACATCTTGGAGCGTTTACAAGCGTGTGGATGTTCTGCGAGTGAGTGCGATGGCCTCACTTGCGGTACGGTCGTTAGCACGACTGCACAAGATCACAGTGTAGTTGATCACTACACTGCGGATCAAGCTCCCGGCGGCTGTACAGGAGTACAAGCTGCGCCGAAGGTCCACCACTCGAATAAGTCGAGTGGACCGGGACATAGATGCATGCCTAGCGGGCAGCACCTTAGAAGAAAGAAACCTGTTGCCCCAAGAGGCAACATGAAAATCCTAGGTCGGCTGGAGAGTCGACCGTAGAGGATCGTTCCCTGACTGTGGTTGCACAGACACAGTCAGAAGACGTCGAGGGAATAAGTCCCCACGTACTTGAGGAAGGAATTCCTCAAGAGTCACTTGCTGAAGGATTAGGCCAGCAGCAACCTGTGGAAAGAAGTTACCAGGAAGTAACCGAGACGTTGAACGTCTTGGTCAATGACGAATCAAGCGTAGGCGCTTATATGCTTGATCTGATTGTGCTTCCGAAGTTGACTTCGGAGATAACTCAGTTGCCAACGCTAGAACCGAAAAGGTTCTTGCGTGATCTGCGTAGTGGCAAAGTCAAGCAGATCTGCATACTCGTCACAGAGGATGCGTATGTGGCCGATATTCGGTCGGCAACAGTATTTGCCGAGAACGAACGGGTTCTCAGCAGCTCATCGATGGACGAAAGTGTCCTCGATAAGAAGACTCGGATTGAGCGATACGCGTCCCAATCCTGGGAGTCACTTCAGGCAAATCCTTTGTATAAGGATTTGATCGAATTCAGGGATGTGTTCCCTGAATCCGTACCTTGCGAGTTGCCTAAGGACAAAGGCACTCGACACGAGATCGAGCTCAAACCGGGCTCGAAATACTGTGTCATGAAGCAGTGGCCACTGCCTCGTGAACAAGTACTAGCGATCGACAAGTTCTTTGCCGATCGCTTAGCAGCGGGCCATGTGAGGGAATCAACATCCCCTCACAGCTCTCCGACCTTCTGTGTGCGAAAGGCCACAGGAGGGTGGCGGATAGTGCACGCATTCAACAAATTGAATGCTGCAACGGTACCGGCTCCGACGCCGATACCGAGGAAGGACGTAATCATAGATGGTATGTCAAAGAGTACCATATTTTCGTCCATGGATCTGATGGATGGGTTCTATCAGATTCTCTTGCGTGAACGGAACATCCCGTTCACGGCAGTGAGTACCTTCAGCGGGATGCTGTGGGAGTGGCTAGTTATGTCACAGGGGCTGAGCAATGCCCCTGCAACATTCAACAGAGGTGTCACAAATCTGTTGAGACCAGTGCGAGACTTCGCACCGAGTTACTTCGACGATGTGTTCGTCCATAGCCGGGCTATGGACGGAAAGACGGACGTTGAAGTTCACAGAACTCACGTTCGTCAGGTTCTTCAACTTATGCGCAAGCATAAGTTGTACGCCAACCTTAAGAAGTGTGTATTCGCGGCTAGCGATATACCACTTCTTGGGTGCATCGTGGGTAAACACGGCGTACTCCCTGATCCCGAAAAGATCGAGGCGATCACCGACTGACCAGTGCCAGTCGATGTCAAGGGACTAAGGAAGTTCCTTGGTCTAGCGGCGTACTTGAACAATTACTCGCGCAACTACG